GCTTTAGTAATTTTGTCATTCTCAGCATACATTTAACTTTTTTTATAATAGTGCAGTTCATCCTTTAAGGTACACCATTATGTTATGGTGTTCCAAATTCTGTCATCTCATGCCTGATTTCATGCTTTAAACAATATTCTTCAAAGTTTTTAGATGTGTCTTCCCTACCATTATTAGTCTGAATAGACTTCAAGAGTAACCCTGTCATCTTTTCATCATGGCATTAAATTTTTAAAAATATTACAGCACCTAGCTTTTGTTTTTCAATATATATACCCAAGTTTTATGTAAAGCATCATAAATAAAAGTAATAAAATATTTGCTGTCATCCAATGGTTCAACCTTAATAAGACCACATACTTCAAAATAAATTAATTCTAATATATTTTCTTTTATCTGAGAATATTTACAAAAAAAAACTTTACGATGCTTATCATACAAACAATGATTATATGAATCTAGAAATATACCTTTTATTAAAAAAATAAGAGATTGGCTTGCCAAAACCTATAATCCCTTATCACTTATGTGTGCCAGCCTTTTATGCCATATATTTGACATCATCATCAACGGTATTTATCTTATTGCCTTTCAATTACATCAATATTTTGTATATTGTGTAGCATAATTTTTTTATTACCACTATCATAGATCCTTTGAGAAGCTTTCATTACCTATTGTTTTATCGACTCTCATATCTTTATTAAGGACATTAATCACAAATAAGTTTATTCTCATATCTGAAATATGTCTAACATCTTTTAAAGTCAATATACAACCCGTACTAGTTTGTACAACAATATAACAAATCTCAACAATCTGTAACACAATCTTGTTTCCTATATTGATGCAACCAAAATCTCTTACTTTAAAAGTTGTAAACAACTCCCTCTTATGAACACATTGATATGTCGCTCATGTGTCAACTACCCTCTTAATACCAGAATTACTTATATGATTACAATCGTCATGTGTATAAATCAAAGTAATTGAATCACTATCTAAATTCACTATTGCAATATTGTCATCAACTGAACTCTAACATTTGTCATCAACCTATAATATATTTTCGTTCTTGCTTCAAGATTTTATAGTTTTGCTTTACATAATCATGTTTACCACAATGGTAACACTTCACTTTATCTCTGGACTTGGATTTATGTCTAAACTTATTACGATCTTTAAGTTTCAACCTCTATTGATGTTTTTATCCCTGTTCTTTGTGACAAGAGCTTGATTCCTCAGAGTTTGAATCTTTTTACCTTCCTTCTTCATCAAGCATACTATCTTTTACCATCTTTAATGTTACCTTATAATTAAAAGCTAATTAAGAACAGTCACAACTAAAGTATTTCAGCTGTTTGGCAATGAATCCAAAAAAAAAAAAATGATGCCTTTATTTCATCATCCATCTTAAGCTCCATAGTAGTCGTCCGATTGAATCTATATTGAAAATCACTCAAGTGCTTTGTAATCGATCGTCTATCCCTATATTATAAAGTTGCAAATCTTTTTAACAAATATAACTTTATTTATGCCTGTTTTTCTCTCATATAACATTACTAATTTTTTTCAAATGGTGTGGACATCTGTCTCCTCTACTATATAATGAAAAATACTGATATCAACCCATTTTCTTATTGTGGCCTGTGTCTTCCTGTTTACTTTCTTTTAGCTTTCATCTTTCATATCTATTAGCTTAGCTAAATCATCTAATATTGACTCATACAAATCTTTATAGTATAAATTATCCTTCATCATAGGCTTTCAAATTGAATAATTTGATACTGTTAATTTTATTATGGAACCTATATCACTCTCCATGATCTCAATAAAATTTATTTCTATTCTGAATTGTTTATGTATCAATATATTAAAATAACCAAGCTTTGATATCATTTATTGGGCTTGAAGTGACAAACACAATAACATAAAAGCAATATATCGCAAGAAACTCGTAATAATAAATAACAATCAATAATAAACAATGCAATAAAAATAAAGTACATCAAGATTTACGTAAAAAATCATCAAATGTAAAGGAAAAAAACTATGGATCACTAGAAAAATTTTCACTATCAAATAATGAACATATAAAATTTTTCTCTAGTTAAAACTAGAACTAATTAATAATTAAAGAGACAATTAAAAAAACTCACTAAATAAATAACTTAATAAATACATCTTAAATTCATTCTTAAAGAGTTTCAAATTGATTTCCATCATTCAAAATATAAAATATTAAATCATAAACTTACTAATAAAATTTTAATTCAATTAAATCACAAATCAATTTTCATTGATCATATAACTCTTCTTTTTTTTTTTGTATCTTTTCTGATTTTTCTTTTTCTTTTTCGGCGCCACTCCCTAATCACCAAAAATAGGGCCCCACTTTTTTATTATTTAGGGCTTTTATTTCATATTAAGTCTTTAGGCGTTTTAATTGGTGGAAACAATAGGGCTGGACCCACATTCCCAACACAAAGATCCTGCATGCGCGAACCAATATGACGAGCAATTGCTTTCCCTGATACGAGAGAAAGAAATAAAGTTTCTCATTAGTACCTCGTGTGAACTACGTGCTTTATGATCTTGTGCTCATGTATCAGTTGGTTCTTATTCTCTTGAATTGATTATACATGGATGAGAATAATCTGGCATTGTTAAAAAGGCATAATGAGTGAACAGGTTATTTTGATTGAACAGTGACATGGAGTACTTTTGCACACACCGTGACTTCAAGTTAATTTGTTCGACAACCACAATAAATAGGAATTTATTATAGTCTTAATTTCGTTTATATATACATTAGATAGAAAATGCATAATCCAGAATTTTTAGTGTACAACTTTACTTCATCAAAATATTTTCAATACTCTCAACTCTTTGTTTTGTTCAAGAGAGAAGAAAATATGCAATTGATATTGCTAATAGGGTTGCTATTGGAATCAAATCCCTCGTCCACATTTTCTAAAGGCTAAAGGGATGGAGTTTGATTATGCAAAAAAATAAATAAATAAATAAAAATAATAATAATAGTTTTTTTTTTTTTTTTTACCAAACCCAAAAACACCAGGACAAAACCCGGTATTTGTCCTTAACCCATTTGGCTGACATCTCTCACTTCTTACCGCCGACGCATACTACCAATTTTCGCTTAACCTCAAACTGAGGCATCTGCAGGAAAACTTCAACTTTTCTCGATCATATTTCACCATCTCTAGGTTAAACTAGTTGTGGGCTAGAGTAGAACTAGTTGTCTGTTAGACTAGAACCGAGGAAGGGGAGGTGCGAACTGCCCCTATCACAGCAAGTACAAATCCAACATTTTTGACAACTTCATGCCAACGGCGACTCTATCTCACCTCCAGTTAGACTCCATATCAGCAGTCTTTGTCCATGCGGACCATCCTAAAAATCCTCCCAATAATGTAGAACATATTTTTAAGAAAAATATGTTGATTTAAAAAAAAAAAAAGAAAAAAAACAAAACTTCGGATTCAACTTTCAAACACTACTATGTAATTTTGGGCCGTCCAACCCCTCCTTTAAACACGAGTGTTGAGGGTCTTAGATCCTTTTAAATAAATACTATTGGTAGAGTTCTCGTCAGGTTTTGTGGGTCATAATACTACCCAAAGTGAGATGAATTGGGCTTAAGAAATGAATATACAAATGTCCACATCAGGAATAATCTTAAGATTCCTCCCCCAGAACAGAAATATAAAACAGGCAGCTTATCTTTGTCTTTCAATTTTAGAAGGAACTCTGGTCAAGATCAAAGCTTATCTTAGTCTCCAAAATATAACGCAGGAAGCGGGGGGACAATCAAGGATCATAGCTATTCTAGTTTATGAATTTCAAATATGTATGATATCCAAAAGTTGTATAAGGTAAACTCTTTATAGCCGAAGAATGTTGCAACTGTACATTAAATGGTCAAGAACTCGGCTTGCAATTCTTTCCTCAAAGATCATGACTTATATTCCAGATCTAGCGTGTCTGAGAGCTATAGGTACTTCAAATCATACTCAAACAGATAGTGGAGAATTTTTGTCGTACTACAAGAGCATACTCGAACAGAACAGATTCTTGTACGAGGTTCAAGAAAAGCAGGTGTTGCTCTTCCATTGTTCACAAATCACAACCTTGAATGGATAGGCATTCGTTCTACTCCATTTACTACCATGCAGCACAAAAATAACTGATCAACTCAAACTCGAAGTACATTTGTACAAAGAATAATTGAAGGGGCTGTAAAAAGCAAGGGAAACTTTATTACTACATATTCAAAAGCAATTCCTGCAATTGTAAACCACAATTTGGTTGTGCCAGGTTGAAACATTGTGTATACGCACTTGACAGGTCTTTACATTGGCAATGTTTAATACGTTCATGTTCTGGTTCTGGTTGTCGTTGTTTTCGAGTAATTAATGTGTCAATACTCAAAACACTAGTCAGCTTCATGAAGCTTTTCTATGGTTGTCGCTAACCAAAGCCTATTATCATAAAAACTTTCATCACCTAAAGATAAATGTCATCTTCTGCAAACTATTTTCAGGTAAAAAACCCTCATGATTTGGCAGCACATGGGTGATTCAGCAAGTTCCAAATTCAAAAAAAGTTAAGAGGGAAGACATTAATGGTTGGGACCCAAATGCTGCAAAAATCAAAGAGGGCGCAAAGACAAACGAATTTCCCAATCGTTGTTGTGACAAAAAGAGTAGGAACAAAGTTGGTGTTTGGGGCATGTGAGTACTAGTAGCCATCACCCACAGGGAGGAAGAATATGAACCAGCCCACGTGATTCCATGGTTTTATTCCCACCAACATGTGACCCATCTTCTCCCCACATCTTTAAGCCACATACCTATTTTTCCATTTCAACATTAGGGTGGGGGGTCCTTCTAGAGGGGACCCTACCCTTCCCTGTTTCCTTGCCATGATTCATCTTTGGACCTCTAGCATGCACGCTGCACGCGAGCATGAAAGAACTAGCTTAGCTATCTTTGGCAGTCCAAAGTCAAATCCCAGTTTCAGCAGAAAGTAAGAAAAAAAAAAGAAAGACAGGAATTAACAGATTACCCCCAAACAAAAAAAATAATAAGGAAACAGAACTTTTTACTGTCAGATCTCTGGAGAAAATAGGGAAAAAGAGAGAGAAAAAGAAAGATGAAGGAGATGGTCTGGAGTCCAGGGGACAGTTCCAGGATTTGAATGTGATTTTATGAGGATCAGCTTTCTATAACCGGTTATCAGATACTAGAACCACGTTTATTCCCCACTCTAAACTTAGACATTTGTAACATTTGATTGCCAAAAACTGATTCTGTACTGCGTTTGTAATTTGTAGTATTTCTTACAGAAAAAATATATGGAGTTTTTTTTTTTTCCTTTTTTATTATATTGATTTCAGCTGTTCGATTAATTCTTAAACAAATCTGAGACTACAAGTTGGATTAATTACAGGGTTTGAATTCAAATCCAGTAGCTACGCTGAGGTCAATATGGTTAGCTCTTTCAAAAGCCAACGTTCAACTCTAATTTTCAGGAAAAGTCTGCCGAACAGCTATGAAACATGCGTCGCACCCACCAAATCAAATCAAATCAAGTTTCATAATTATTGAAGACTTTGCAAGCTCATTTCACCCATAAACTAATTACCCTCATCAAGAGTTCCCGCAAAATATGAAATAATAACAAAAACAAAAATAAAAAAAATTGCATACACCAAGAACAGATCTATCTTTTCTTCTGTTTTGCTTGACAAAAATTCTTACGTACAAAATTACATACAATAAAATTACAATCTTCCTCTATATACCCATCTAAGACCCTGAAATTTTATTTTTTTTAGAATTAAAATCTTAAGTTATAAAAAAAAAAAAAACTAGTAAGTAAAAATCTATCATTCAAAAGAGTACGATTTCATTGCAAGCAAAATCATCCGAATTCCCAATAGAATCTTCAGGCCACGAATCCCGAAGCAACTTAAGCAGCATTTGAGCCTTCCTCTTAGCCCTGTCCGTACAATCACTTTGAACCAACAATAGCAGCTGCGTCAGAACACCCGCACTCACCGCGTCCCTTTGACTCTGTTCCGACTCCGAACACAGTGCCAGGAGCGCACCGGCTGCGTACTCAGTAGCCCTGTCCGAAATCTTCAATATTGTCTTGACCAACAATGGAACTGTAAGCGCGTGTGCCGCGAAGGCTGAACACCCAGAGGGGATCCGACATAATAATTCTATCGCAGCTAAAGCTCGTTCAGCATCGCACTTATCCAAATCGGCTAACCGGTCAATCAACGTCTCGGCTGCTCCGGCTTGAACAGCTTTGTGCCTGGTTTGTTTTACTAAGCACAAGGCAAAAAGAGCTCGAATGCTGATTTTTAACGCGCGTGGATAAGAGCTGAGGTTTTTTAATATGTCGGTGACGCCTTCGAAAATTTCATCTACATTGCATATCTGAGCTCGAAGATCTGACGATCTTGTTCCGGCGAGAACGATTTCGATGAGCGAAGCTGAGGTGACTCGGACTTCAATCGACGAATGGGACAAGAAGTGTGACAAGTAGGTTACTTTGTTTGAATCCGAAGCGATTGATGCGCACTCGGATTCGGTAAGCTGAAACATTACTAAAAGCGCAAGTGCCTCATGGTTCAACTCCGACGAACTGGAACCCGTATCTGAAAATAGAATGCTTATGAGCATTTCACGTGCGTTATGGGAGGAAATCACGGAACGATTATTGTCGGAGTCGCGGGCGAGTCCCTTGAGTCGACGCAGAGCAGAAAGACGAGATTGAAACGGATTCGAAACGGAAGAAGCTTGATTCAGTAAGGACCGAACCATGGTAGGCTCAGCAGGTTGTTTAGGAGTAGGAATTCGCTCGATACCAAAGGCCTGGTTGGCGACACACCAATCTTGAATAAGGCGGCGAAGGGTATGGTTAGGGATGAGAGTGAAGTCGGAGAGTGGGGCTCGAGTAACAGGACAAGTGGAGTTACCGGTAGCTACCCATGACTCAATGCTGGTTCGGTCATAGGTTTGGCCGGTGCTGACTGTTACAGGGTCACGCATGAGCTCAAGTGAAATAGGACACCTGAAATGGTAAGGAACTTGCACACCAACCAAATCTAATGGCTCTATACTTCCAGGCATCTCCAGAGACAAAAAGGGAAAAAAAAAGTAAATCAGTAGGGGTGGGAAGAGGACTCCGAGAATTCTCTGGAGAAATTTGTTTGGTGCCCGGTTTTGGTTTCACACTTATATATATAAAAATTTTGGAACAGAGAGACAAGTACCCAACAGCTATACCATAAGGGAGTGGTGGGACTGGGAAGGGGGCAGGGTAAAGGGGGCTTGGGCTGGGGGTCTGCTCTTATCTGACTAAGGGCCACACGTGTGGCTTTTATAAGTCTGGACTGTGGAACCTAACCGAAGAGTTGAATTGGGGGAAGGGTTTGGTTGGTCAAAGAATATGTGCGACTTGGTGGGTCCCACCTTTTTCCAAGCCTAAAATCTAACTTCTGTTTACATCAACACAACCACTGTTTGTTTTTTCAGATTTGATTGAGCATCATTAATAATGGGCTGGCTTTTGTTTCGCAATCGAGTCCTTATAGTTTGGTGTTTTTCCACATCATGCACTATTTTTTAAAAAATTTGGAATGTGAGATATTGAAATTTGAAACATTACTTTTCCAGCAAATTATAATTATTTGTTTCAATTTAACTCCAGTGGAAACTTCAAAAAGTAAAATCCAAAACTTTTATGTTTAGTATATTTTGTTTTGAAAACATAGCTGTGAATTGAGTTGCCTCATTTTTCTGAAAAAAAAACGAATAAAGGGAATAGGTGTGAATTGAGCCGTGCCCATCATCAAGAAATGTGGATATTTTTATCTTATCTACGTTTTTAGGTAATGTGTTCATGTCTATGCTTTTACTGGCTAGTAAGAAGACTAGCTTTATGCATGCTGTCATGGTTTGGATGTCCTATGGAAATCATGAAGACAAAATTATGTTAGGGCTCGCTTTACAGTCTGGTGTGGTGTCAAATCTTGCTTTGTGAGTGAAAAATTTTCAAAAAAAATAAAGATAATGAAAAAGGGAAATCGAACCAATGGCAACCTCAATCTTCAAAGTTTACTACTTTTAAAATTAATGCTTTTGTGCCTTACAAAAGGTTGCAAGGACTGAAAAATTACAACAATATGTAAACAAGAAAGGTTTTGGTTTTTGAATAGCAACAAACGGAAGCGAATCCTTCAATTTGAAGCAAAATCAAAGAAAAAAAAACTTTTAATTAGTTGCATTAAGACCCTTGAAGTGGAAGAAATCTTTTTTTGACAATTTAGCTATAATTAGCTTGATAATAACTTTCTTAGGGTTGCTTTTAAAAGCCAATAAGAAAATAAGTGTGACAATTTTCAAAAATTAAAAAAGAAGTGTGACAAATATTTATTATTCACATAAAGTCTTTTTATTTTTTTTATATTATAGTGTTCAAATTTAAGCTTAGAATTTGATTGGAAGATGAATGTGGATAAGAATTGTAAAGTAAATGAAAATTTTCACATATTTTTTAATGATAATTCAAGATTTAGGATTAGTTTGATATTATTGTTATAAATGGAAAAAGTACATTTAAAAAATGTAATTAAAAATTTTAAAATTTTAATATTATGATAAAAAATGCTATTAGTAATTAAAATATTTAAAAATATATAAAATATTAAAAATATAGAGTAATATAGTGATTTTAAATCCTAAAAACACTTTTTCAATGTAAAAGTATGATTTGGGTTGCAAAACTAAATTTTTTTTAATTAAAAAATTATTTATTTGTTACTTAATATTTAGATTTGATTAAAAATAAATTTTAGTACAAAAGATAAAACTGAATTTAATTAATTCATATACACATTTTTAAAAAATTATTTTTAATAAATTTTAATTTTAATATTTAAGACCTTTGATCTTATCTCAAAATGAGATATTTTTAAAAAATTATAAAAAGAAAACAAAATGAAAGGTGGGGAGTCCAATTGCAAAGGATTTGAGATTAATTATTAGGTTTCAATTGTCTGTTACTAATACAATAGTAGTGGGCGGTCAAAGGTCAAAGAAGAGGAGATAATCACAGGAATGTGCGGGTCCAGGTTGTCTGTCCACCTCTTTATGCGAGCAACGTAAATTACAAAAATAAATAAATAAATAAATAATTCCGTGGATAACATCAATAGGGTGGTTTCTAGATGGGGTGGGACCGAACATAAGTGGACGATGTTGATCAAGTGGGCCCCCCACAATATTGTCTATGTTAACCAAAATTCCCTTTCCACTTTCCAGTCCCCCCCCCCCCCCCAAAAAAAAAATCAGAGACCTCTGATTGAGGCCATTCAATATGTAATAAGTTGAGTGAGAAACAGGGAATCTGTCACATGCTTTTACTTGGGAGCAAGTAAATTGGAACTTTCTTGCCTTTCGGCCTCAGGAGACCGCTCAGCTACGTTACTTGGGAGCCTCATTTGTATTGTCATCAGTCAAATATTTATGGGTTTTGCCAACGACATTTGCTAATCTTTTTATTACTTCTTAATACTTTTAAGTAACTTTCATAATTGTACACCTTATTTTTAATGAGTATTTTCTTTAAGACAATCATGTAGCACAATTTAGGAAGATAAATATACCATCATTACTTGCTCATTCAATCCATTTTATTATGCATAATTTAATTATTGAATAGAGTCTGTTATTTTTTATATGTATATAATATTTATGATTGTAAATTAGTTATATTTTTAATTTATTAAAAAATTATTGGTATTATTTATATAAATTATCATTAACATTTAGCAAGTTTTCTAAAGTTGAATAAAAATGTTAAAAGTAAAAGAATTAATCTCAAATGTAATTGTGACTGTTGAATTATTGTTTTAATAAAAAAAATTTCAAAATCATAAGAATTCAAGTTAAAAACTTATATTGTATGTAATTTGAATTAATTTCTTAATAAATTTTTTATTGAGATAACTATAACACCAATTTTGATAAGGATTGTTTGGTTGCGCAATAATTTGAACTTATCAATATTGTTTTTATAGAGAAAAAACTTATAATTCCTTCTCTTGTTTTGTTTAAGATTTTCTATTTTGCCATTTCTTGGCGCTGGAATAGTCGGTGTCGTTTAGCGGCGGAAGCACACGCCTGTTGGGGGACAGTGCGCCCCACGGGCCACGTCCCTCCTGCGACCCTGCTGTCTCCGGTCAACCGGGCAAGCCATTGCCGCTATAGCCTACACAACGTTTGCCTGCTCCGATGCACGTACGATACAACACGTGTTTCCAGCTATAAAATCAAAATCCTTGACAGAGTCCTTTTTTTAAAATTTTTTTTTAAAATTTTTCTTTCTCGTTTAAGAAAACAAAAGCCTTCTTCCGAAAACAAAAATCTTAAAGAAGAGAAAACAAGATCAGAAACAAATTTTTAACATGGCTTGCTACTGTTACAATCCTTGGTTGGTGCCCCAAGTATGGTATCTCTGATTCCAATCAACCTTATCCCATTGGGTTTCGGATAACTTGCGACTTTTCATGGATCTCCATTGATTTTTTGTGCTCTTTTTCCTCCAAATTTCTACGTTTTTTAATACAATAGCAACCTATTTTATTACTAATAATTTTACTAATCGATGGTCTAAACATAATTACCAACGACTTTTATTTGGATTTCAAGGCATCGATATCCATTTTTTTTATAATAAAAACATTCAAATAAAAATTTTAATTTTAATTTAATTAATTCATATAATTATTTTAAAAAAATAATATTTAATAAATTTAAAATTCAGGTTTCATCATTTATACTTTTTTTATTTCTTAATTGCAATTAAAAAAAACTTAAAATAAGTATTAGGCTATTAGCTTTGCTGAAATCAAAATTTATAGTGATCGTTTACAATGATTTTAATCAAATTTGATGGTTGAAATGAATTTTGAATACCAGCTCCAAAAGCTGTTTCATTGTCTTTTATTTTTCAAATCTTTTTTTTTATCTCAATAAGATTAAGCTTTATTTTTCAATTATTACAATCTATTTAGGAATTTAACAATGTAAGAAACTAGGCATGTGTTACTATAAATATGTAAATTATCCATAAATGTTTTTTTTCTTTAAAAAAATATATAAATGTGAGTAGGCAAGCTAATTGACATTGAGAAGATCACGAGCAAGCATTAATATGTTAGTAAAATAAAGGACAAAGAAGGGGTACCTTGAAATTGCCAACAAAAAATAAAACTTTTTTGATAATTTTGAACTTTTATCTCAAAGATGACTCGTGAATCGATAAGGTTTTTTTTTTAATGTTTTTCGTTTGATAAACAGAATCTAATCAGAGTGGACGACGACTTGCATTCTTTATTAATCGTTCATACAATTGGATAGTACGAAACAAAAGCCTTTAAACTTGAACGGGGATGTCTTTTTCAGGCTATTACCCTACACTAATCTTAATTTAACAGACAGTGTTGTCTGTACTTTCATTTCCACTTCTCCAATTTTACTATTGCAAGTTCGTAACCTTTTTACTTTTAACCATTCAACTTTAATTGAAAAGTACTTTTCCGCAAATTTTGTAATTTAAAAAACAAAACGGTAATATAATAAAAAAATAACATAAATTAAAAATATAAAAATAATATGATTTAAAATTTTTATAAAAATCATATACGAATTTAATAAAATCAAAAAATATAATTTATATTTTTATATTGATATAAATTTTAACAAATAATTTTTATATAAAATATAAAATAAATATATAAATTATTAATATTTTACATAATACGAATATATAAATTATTAAATTTATTATAAAGATTTTTTTTTGTATCATATTATGTTGTCATGTTAAATTGATTTAAGTAAATTTATTTATATTAGATCCGATAAATTCATGAAAAATTATTTTTTATAATTTTTTTTTTATCATATTATGTTGTCATGTTAATTTATTTTCAAGTTTTCATTACTACTCACTAATGGTTTTTATTTTTTTAAATCCCACCAATTGCACCAATTTTTTATTATTTAAAAAATTTAGGATAATATCTGTATTTTTTTATTAGATTTAAGACTTCATGATAGGGATGAACAATTCAATAATGAAAATTAGTCCCTTGGAAATTTTCTTTTCAAACAATTCTTCAAAAAAGAAAAAGGCTGGATGATTTTTATTGGAAACGATTTTATATGGTCAACCAAATTCTATTCCCACATTTAATGTAATTGTAGCAAGATAAACGACTAATTCAATTGTCATATCCGGAATCTAAACAATAACACTTATTCTTAGAGAAACGATATTAGATCTTAGTATCTGATTTTCTTTATTGTTTTGCAACAAATTTATCATAGATATTAAATTATATATTAATAAAATATTATATACTCTAATTGCACATTTCTTATTATCCATTATGCAACAAATTAATTATAAATATTTGATATTGCTTTACTATAAATAACGTAAGTTTATGACCATTTTTTATTTTAAAAATACTTTAATTATTTTCAAGTTAATGAGTATAAAAAGTCTAGGAGATATAATTAACAAATTATTTAATTTTTTATTTTTTATTACAATTAATTAATTCCTCCAATATTTATTTACATTTAATTAAGGCCTTATTTTGATAAAAAGTTAACATCGTTAATTTTTTGTAATTTTTTGTTATAATTAAGATAAAATTTTATATGATATCAATACAAGATATGAATGTTTATCATGTAACGTAATTAATATATATGAAAATTAAATAAAATATATATTTTTTGTTTTATTTTTTATTTATTTTTTCATTCTCTCTAAGATCTTTTTAAGAGTTTAATTGACTATAATTAAAATATTAATTAATTTAATTTTGTCATATAATTAAAATATATCTAATTAAATATTTTAACTAAATTAAAATTAAAATTTAAAATAATTTTTTAATTATAATTCAAGTACAGTTTTTACTCTTTAGCCTTATTTATTTTTAAAAACAATTAAAGCTCAATTTTGGAGGAAAAGTAGATACGAGAATTGAAAGCCACAAAAGAAAAAAGAAAAAGAAGATTTGAGATTTGGTAAGAATATTTTAGCATCATTTTTATGTAAAAAGAAGTTTGACTCTTGGTTTTGCCTTTATGCTAAATTAAAAATTCTATAGAGGCATAGTGCCCAACAAATCTCACAGACGTTAGCTAAGTTCACTATCTCATTACCGTCAATTAAATTAAGTTAATAAATCAACTATATCTTAATAAATATGTATTTTATAAAAAATCATAATTAAAAAAAAATAGATGTTAAAATTTAAATTTAATATTTGTTAGATATTAATATATAACTTTTTAAAAATTATTATTATAAATAAATTAAATTAAATTTTAGATTGAATATTGACATATTTTAGAATTAAAAAAAGTAAATCACTTTTGTAAGCCTAAAAAAAAAAGTTTTTCCTGTCTCTTCACTGGATAAAAGTTGCTCAAATAGTATGCTGCTTCATGTCAAGAATCTCAACCTCTAAAATGTTTTTTTTTTAAGGAATTATTTAAAAAAAAAAAAGAAATGGGTTATTTTTGACTTGTCGGAGTAATTAATTGACGATTAGAGTGTAAAGTAGGCAAGTCTAGTTGGCATTGTGATTCGACCTACGATTTTGTCTTTATGTGGTCCAATAATGAAATTATTAAATCCAGCTTTCCACGTGGGTTTCTCCACGTTGACCACGTCTCCACTTTTAGTTGTGCTGCTGACGTGGTCCATAACTAACTTGGAATTTTTTTTCAACTGTGTGTTTTATAATGTGCGGTTGAGCTCTCCACGTGGACCTTTTGTTACATCCATCCAAAGCTAGAAGAAAAGTCGTAAAAAGTTTTCCAATGAATAAAAAAATCAAATAGTAAAGATTGAAGCGATGACGGCTTTTCATTTTATTTTTTTAATATTATAAATAATTTTAAATTATAATAAAATATTTATTATAATATTTAAATTTAAAATTTTTTTAATGTAATATTTAAATTATAAAATTATTAATTAATGTAATATTAATTTATAATATAATTAATTTTAAGTTATAATATTTTATGAATAAATAATTTTTTAAATATCATATTAATTAATAAATTTATAGTTTAAATATCATATTAAATATATATCATTATAATTTAAGAAATATTTATAAAATTATATTTTTTTTAATTAGATAACTTGATTTAATCAATTGATCTAATCTAAGGACATTACAAAGTTAAATAAGTATTAAATACTATAAATATTTAAGAAAAATATACGTTTGATATTTTGGATGTGATATAATATTTGTCATAAAATTAAGAGATTAAAACTTTATTTTTTATTCATTAAAGTTTTTCGTGGGCATTGATTCAAATTCAACCCAATAGAAAAATATTATTTCATTTCATTTGACATTTTAAATTTATAAGATTCTAATATTTTACCAGATGATATGGCTGTTATTACAATATTTATGTAACCAGCAACCTCTTAACCTAGTAACAAGAATAAAATTTGTTTGGCTTGTAAGCTTTGGTTCTGAGTCCAAATAAAATAAATAAATAAATAAGACATTTTAAGGAATTTTTTGTTAACTCCAGCTAGCTTAATCCCACCAATTAAGATGGGTGAAAATTTTTATTTATTTATTGTTAATTACCATATCTAAATAAGAAAGATAAAATAAGAATACTTAAATTAAAAAGAAAATAAAAAAAAATTACTTGAAAAAATGATGAAGGGTGCGAAAACTTAGGAACAAGGAGATGGAGAATGATAGCTGAATACGCAATTGTCAAAGTTTTTAGTATAATTCTCTTTAGATTACAGTCATGCAACACTAGTGACATTCAAATGATGAAATCTTTCAATGAATTCATGTTGTTATAATGATTAAAGAAAAAAAAAATAGTGGTTTAACAAAATTCAATTGCTCAATGAATTTTGACTTTCATACGTAACTTCAATGTAGTGAAAGTCTTTTTTTAATCGCATTATACTTTATCTTGAACAAGATTTTAAAAAGTTATTGCTTATTTATAAATATATCTTTAGACTTAAAATAACAATAATTATTGATTTTTTTTATTAATTGGTATGTTATTAAAATTGATATTTAAAAATTATAGACTTGAAATTATATGTATAATATTTTTTTAACTAAATAAATAATAAGTTAAAAAATTTAAAAATATATTAAAAAAAACAAACAAACTGCTAACTATATTGAATAGTATCGATTAACTTCTAATATAATGATTTTTAAAAATATTCATTAAATAATTTTAAAATTTAAATTTTATCACTTATAATATATATTTAGAAAAAAACCATCATACGTCTTTTACTGTTACTGTCGATATGATAGAATAGGTGGCATGTGAATGAAAGTGGGTGAGAAAATAGTAATGTAGTGATAGAAAGCAGTCAAACTAATGGCAATAATATAAGTTGGGTTGCTTTCCAATTGGTCCACTGCTAGCACAAATTTTCAAATCTTAATTGGTCAATGTCGTTATCAGATTTTGAGTATACTGTTTGGGGGCGCATGTTAGGCGAATATAAACCACATGACCCCATTAGTCATGGATGAAATTGATGCCCCTCTATATGTCATTTTCTTTAAAATAAAAAAGAGAAATCTATATATATATTTGGCTTTGGTCAGACCTTCGCTGCCCTTGTCCACCCATATAATCATGCTTTTTTTATCACATGAGACTTTATTAAGATCTTCCATCGTCATACTTGACAAATTTTATTTTTATTGGAGAAAGGTTCGAATTTTATTATTTGTATCAAAATAGTGATTATAGAAAAATTCTCCAAAGTTAAATTTTTTTTTTAAAATTATAAGTACTGAAATTTAGGTATCTAATTTACTTCATATTATTTTTTAAAATAATTATATGAATCAAATAAATTTAATTTAATTAATCATTAAAAAAATCCATGAATTAAATGAAAGCAGTCATTTTCCCTTGTGAACCTGAGGCACTAAGGCAGCAAAATCAAACATTCCCACACAAATTTTTAGTGGAGCACTTCAGCTATTCCTTTTACCATCATATCAAGGTAGGGAAAGAAACGACTTTCTTTTTTTTTTTTTTTTTTGTCATGAATTGTACTATCAACTCAAATCTGATCACAAAATTTAATTATAAGCAGCATATTGAAACCTTTAATTAAACTAAAATTTTAGTGAAAGAAGATGTTTAGGATATGCCATGTTCATCACATAATTGAACTGGTATAAATTGTTTATCTGTAGCCATATGACAAAACTTTCAATGGATTCCCCCTACCTGCCTACAAAACGTATATTCCAATTCCCATTTCAATTAAGTAGTGAATAAAGAAGCAAATTGTGTAGATTTGAGTGTTGACTTCATCAGATTCACAAGTACTGTTTGGAGCTGGTTAAGTTTGCTGCATGTTAACGTATCATTACGCCTTGAATGACTTAAAATAAAGGGATTAAGGTTTCTTGAGCTGTGCGCAAACCGACTGGCGATTGTCAGGGGTGTTTTTTATGCTTAAGTGCCCTTGATTCACGCACGATTAACTCTTAAGTTATGGACTAATAAGGAAAAAGAGGGGGAAAAAAATGGGAAACCGAAAGCGAGAAAGAAAGAGAAGCTCTTGTTTCTCATGGCACAGCTGGTTGGACCTGGTAAATTGAAGGCGGGGTGGGGAACCAAAGTGGAAGGGTCAGGCCTACTTTTTCAAACTAACAAGCCTATATCTCATAAGGAAAACTAAGTAATGGGGCAATTGGAGTTGGGATTTGTTAACCATTTGGATTGAGTAGCCCAAACTGGGAACATAAGACAGGAAGAAGTTCCATATCTACAGCTTTTGTTCACTTTCTTTCTTCTCAGATTTCTGTCTCTTTTGTCGGCTTAATACTGCAGTGGCTTCCACATTACATTTAGGTTCATTGATTGTTAAATGGCAGGTGAAGGTTGACAGGGAAAGAGCCAGACAATGTGTTGTGCGTTAAGACAGAGCATGCCTGAAGTAGCATCACTAGCAAAAGGTAAAGATTCTTCGAAACAATCACATGGTACCCACTCATACTATAAAAACCTGCTATGATCATTGAAACAGAAGAACAAATACCAACAATTATGTCACTCGATAGCCGCCACTCTTGAACCGTCGTGAATGTCCAACACCAAATAAATAAAGCTGGAATAAGGAGTACAATCCTTTCGAAATTGAATTAATCTATCTGGTTTGTGTAATGGTTAGAACTTAAAACAAGTTTTAAATTCATGTTTACAGTTGTAAGAGAATTGCTACTAATATTACGCCAAGCAGCCACTGCAATGGAATTGGTCGACTATCCAAATAAGCAAAGCTGGAATCATGTGCTACTGCTCCTGGTGCAGGAGGAACACCTGCCTCAGGTATGTCGCATATTCCAAAAGTCATATTTGCCTACACACAACAATTCAATACCACAGTGATCAATCAGACATTCAAATTCGTCATGTTTTTTCAGAGTTAGAATGCAGAAAATTTTAATCTCTATGCCCCCAAGTAGAGTTGTAATTGTCCAGGGCTTTAATCAACCATTTCTTATATATTTATAACTCCTGAATCCAAAATATTTATAGGAGGAAATGAATGGAGATCATAGATAGAAGTACTATTGTTACAGACCTTGCAATAGACAATGTTTCCGCATCCACAAACTAGATGACCATTTGCCACGTCTATAGCTTCCGGAGCACCTCCACCATTACTCCTCTGAAATGTTCATCCAAGAATTGGTTATGAACGCCCAATTCAGCACCACTAGAATTTTTAGGCTGCTCATGCTTTAGTAGTAATAAATGATTACCTTGTAAAAATCTACAGCAATGAAGTTAGGCCACCGGTTGCCAGCTGCTACATAACATGTGTTCACCTTGTTAATCAGTGGAGCTGAATTGTGTTTGCAAGCTTGAGTTACATCTGGTCTATCAGGAAAGTAGTTGAATAAGGCCAGTGACCTTGATGTTGCATTCATGGCAGGTGATTCTGCTCGGTTTGGACATGAACCAGCTACCATCCCTCCATTGCCATCTGCTATTTCCAAATGCATCAATGGCACCTCTGCTTTGAAATAAGCATAATTTTCTGCTTCTTCAAATGAACCGTGTTTAAAAGATGATGGTAACAAGACTCACATTGGTTTTCTACCATGTATCTCCATTGATAAGCTATACCTTCAGAGGCCTCCTTTGCTGACTTTGAAGTGAAAACCAGCAGGCGCTGATTCTTTTGTACCATATCATCAACCGTTGGCCAATTTCCACCATTTTTTGGCATTTGAGATACGGGAAACCAGAACTTCCTCAGGCCAGCAGCATCAAATACTTTGCTCAAGCCCCTTGGTGAGGTAACATAGTCTTCAATGATAATGGTAGCAATTACTGATGGGTTTGCTTCAAGAAATGCTTGAACCTCTTTCAAAACATTAATAGCAGGTTGCTGATAAAAAGAAACTCGTGCATTAAGGCCATGGTAAAAAGAAATTGTTAAATTCACATTTTGCAAAAACGAAGTCCAAATAAAATATATGTATTTGCTTTAGATGTCGACACAGACTTACAAAGGCTGTATGGTTGAAGCATTGTCCTCCAAAGGAGTGACACAACCAGATGTCATTCTGGAAATCATACATGTCCAGCATCAAACCTCTAACACCATTCTGCAAGACAGAAAACCACTTCTGTACTCACGAATTATTGAAAAACCACTGCTATTCCATTCATATTTAGCAAAACATTGGCCTATTCAATAGGGAGAATAAGTATATATAATATATGAAAGCCATTACTCTGCTTCTAGGGGGGGAACATCTACATGAGTGTAATGAATGCTGGCATCAAGAGCACGGTAAGAAATTAGGTTAGCCTATCAAGCAGGGCAGCAAGCATTTATTCATTAACCTGATCATTTTTTGTGCTAATAATTCATCTGGGATCCGACAGAATACGGTTATGAAGCAAATGCAACATTAGTCATAGGTCAACTGCAGTATTTAGGGTATGCAAAGCACATGAATTTCATTTTCTCCACTAGGTTATATATTTTTTGAATGATCACCTCACCTAACGCGCTTGCCTAACACGTGGATTTGGGAGGAGATTAAAGTATAGATGTCGTTTACACCTAAAAATAATTATTAGAAAAGAAGCATGTTGATGTTGCTCTTACTTTCCAAGATCAAATTTTTAACTTGCCTGCTTAAATTAAGAATCACATGTGAACAAAAAACACAAATTCCAAAACATTCCAACTGAAAAGAGGGCCAACCTAATGGGGATGTCTCTGACTCTTGACATGGGCTTGGTAGGATTTCTTCTTCATTTCCCCATCATAAAAATACCAAACACATGCCATTTTCATTAGAAACATAAAAAATTGGTTAAAATCTAACATCGAATTGAAGCATTCAACAGAAGGTATCTTATACCGTCGCAAGTACAAGATATCTGGGAAAGCATGGTTTCTATATAATTTTCCCTTAAGCAAAGAAATGCTTTGGCTTCCTTCATTTTTACTGAATTAAAATGGAATTCCCATATCCTTTCGAGGGGTAAATTAACTTCATTATCTACCTACAAAAAGAGCTAAAATGCTAAATAATCTTCCAATTGTACACCTGTAGAAATAAAAGAATCTATAATTTCTTACTAAAATCATCGAGGAACCATGCAATTAAAGCTTCATTTGGGAGCACGATTAAAAAGTTCTTGCACCGAAAAGTACTTATTATAGTCGAACCTCTCCCAAATAAACCCTAAGTTGACAACAATAGTCGAACCTCAAAGTCGTTTTCTATCTGTCTTATACTAATCATCCAACAATGTCTAATTTAATTCAAATCTAGTCGGTAATCTCATAATATAAATGCCACTACTATCACTTTAACTTTTAATCAATTCCAAGCTGTATAATTCACCCAAAACATGTTCTTGTCATATTGGACGCAGCATCCTCAGAAATCAGATAGTACCAACAACTACATTCAAGCACAAGCAAACGAATCCCTTAACAAAAAGACTTGGCTATCCTTTCTCTTTAATATAAAATTTCAAAATATTCCCCACTTACAAAGAGATTCTAGTCTTTTAATCCTATCCAAATTTTACTTTCCAACTGTAGAGCCGACATTCCTTAAATTCAATCAATACCAAACACCGCCAAACCGCTTGCAACCTAATACACTACCTATTTATTAAAAAAAAAAATTACACTACCTTGTTTAATTCACTGAAAAGTGGAAACCCAACCGAATTTTTTTTTGTAAGAAAAGCTGAAACTGATTGCATAGGATTTGAGAACTGCATTGATTTTCTTTACTGTTCGGTCTGTTTGTAGAAAATTAAGCATAGAACAATTACAGTTAATTAAACGGGGATCGAGAGAACATACGTTAAGCTGGTCGGTGATGGAGTCCTGCTGGTTCGTGGGAGCTAAAATCAAAGACCCAGTTGCAGACCTCTCTCCCAGCCTCGCAAACGAGTTGTGGGTAGTCAACCAGGAGTATCGATTATATGGAAGTCCCTTAGCCTGTTTCAACCATCACACCCACAGAATTTATGTCTATATATCCCTCCTTTTTACTTGTATACATGTCGAAAATGGATTAATTGTACGGACCTGAGAAGTGGGGTTTACAGGTTGGATTCGAGTGCATCTGGGCCGTAGATTTCCATTTGCTAGACAGGTTTCACAGTGCAACCCTGAGTCACAATTGCTATTTGCTACGCATGTTTGTCCCTCCTGTTCAAGATACACCTCACATATTGGAACTGACATTTTAAGGAAAATCATAAAGGAGTCTCCTCCTGATAATTGACATAGGCATACCTTGAGAGCAGAGCAAAATCCAAAGAGAAGAGAAGTAATGATCAGAATGATAATCAACTGCAAATGAAATATAGTATATTCTGTTAGTTTTCCTTTGACGACAGAGAAGAAGAAGATCATTAAAACTTGCCTGCATTGATTGGTTTTTGGAGTTTGCTTTTTTTGAATTTTCCTTTTGCTTGCCTCTGTCTTCATATAGGATCAGAATTTGTAGTCCATTAAGTTTCGGATAGTACTATTTTTTTGTGGTGACCCTTACATATATAGATATAAGGGCATCAAAATAGATAAATAGAGGGAAAATGAAAATGCAGGTGTTTCATGCGCCGCTATGGGGTGGTTTACCAGGGCATGTTTTTCTCAACTAGTCAATGGTTTTCTTTAATCAATGATGATTACCCAAGTTTTAAGAAAAAGAGAGAGAGAGAAAAGCTTTTAGGGTATGAAGAGGAAAAAAAATCACTGCAACTGATATCTTCAAATTTAAAAAAAATTGATTGGTAAGAGAATGATCTTTCGTAACAGCATGAAATTCCAACAAACAAGGAATAGCATCCCAATAGGGCACTGAAAATTTGTTGCTTAAAGTCTTCCTCTTCTACTTGCTTGCAATCATCAACCAATAAATTATGTATATTCCAAAGTCTTAATAATTGTAACACCCATTTTCTCAACATTTTCATAGTTGTAGGATGATTTTCTGGCTTTTGTTTGTCGGATACTAGGAAAGTTCCTTTATCATTTTCCTCTGCTTAAACATTATAGATTATAGGTTTGCCATCCACCATCGATTTAAACTGCTTTTGGCAGGAAAAAAAAAATCTCAAAGTCCCATCATCAATTCGCAAATTGAGAACAGTGCCGCTTTAAGAGTGCGAGTTCAGCATCGCACACAATGTTAGCTTCACCTGGTAGCTTTAAAATATCTAAACCAAATGTTGAAATTTTGAAACTAACATATTGGTAACTTCTGTCTTTTAGCCCCGAAACAAATTGCCAGAATCCCGAGTTGACAAACCTCTACATGCAGAACTCTGAGCTGCAAGAATTATTTGATCTGAGGGAAAGCTGTCCTGGACATTCTTTCACATTTAGCACATGCATGGTAGCTCTAGCAGCCTTTGTTGGCACCTGCATGACAAATGTGGCTATTCCATAATTTTTGGTCCTCCTTAGTCCGGCCTTGAAGGCCTGAATAACTAAAGTCGAATCATGGCAGCTTACTAAAGCCCTATTTACTGAATTTTGATTTGGTCCAACCTCACAGCATACACCATAACGGGCTTGAAGTTATTGAAAGATTGAAACATAAGGGGGGAAATGTTAAGAGCAAATTATTCAATCATGCTTTACTTCAGATCATCAGTTATACAGCAAATGTTAAATACGAATGAAGACAACTCAACTCGAAAAGACACATGATACTTTCCTTTTTGAAAACAGTGTGGCACAAGATACATAGATGTTATTTATTGTTCCAACTTACAATTTGGTGTAGGCATTGACAGGGTAAAGTTAAAGCCTATGTAATAGCAAATTGTAAATCAGGTGTGTGGTTGAATCCCTGTGTAGTCCATTGTCTTTATTGTACTAATTTCACAGTCGACAGTTCAATAATAACTACAAGGATGTAACAACTGATGGAGACATGTACTAATAGGGATTTTCACGGCTATGGTAGGGTAGGGGTAAAATATTTTTTATTTTGATTTTTTACATTAACTTATTTTATGCCTTAAACGACGAATATTTTAAAATTTTTTAACGGATATATTTATACTTATAACTTCTTAAAAAAATAAAAAAAATATTTTTCTGTTTTTTTTTTTATAATTTTTGTTTTACATATATATGTTATTTTTTATAAATATATATTTTTATAAAAAAATTATAAAATATAAAATATAATCACAAAATAAATACTATATTATACTCTTCAAATATCTAATAAAAATTTTAAAATCATATCCATCTTTATTTATATTTTCAAAATTTAAATATCCATCTCTATCTTTATCTAATCAAAAATGAACTTTTCATCAATTTTAGCACATCCCTTATCCTACAGGTTATATTGTGCACATTATTAAGCTTCGAAGTAGTAAGAAATTAAAGATATATTTGAAATTACATTATTATTATTATTATTATTATTATTATTATTATTTCTCTTTTATAAGGCATAAATGAACAAGAACAAAACCATCAATGCACTAGAGTTTCTTGTATTTGGATTTGAGATGAAAATTAAACTCATCAAGTTGAAGACAGAATTCCAAATTAATTGACTCAATTTGATTAGAATACAAGGGATTCTTTTTCAAGCAGAATCTTATTATAAAAATGAAGATGAAGAATCAAAAGCAAATGTTCCAGGAGTGGACTGCAAGGATAAAAGAAAGGCATTGCCTGCCTGCCCAAAATTGACATATAAAGCTGTTCATAAAAGTCATTATCTTCACTAAAACCCTTAGCATTCCCAAAAGTCTCTCATTAAAAACGTAGTAGCTCCCACTCCCACCCCTGCTGCCCTGCAGGATAAAAAAAAAAAAAGCACAGGTGATGTTCATCAAAATCAACGTCTAGTTTCTACTGATATATGAGGTTATAACAGTATTCTAGCAGTCGTATAAAACTTTATCAGTATTATTAGAGTGAAGATTAGGTCTTTTTTTTTTTGTCAGCACATTGAAAAACTGATATGATTCCAATTGAAACCCACGCCCGCAGAAAACAAAAATGCTCAAGTTTCCACCGTTTTGGGTTTTGGCTGTTGCAGTATCCTCCCCACAATTAATGTTGGTCCCACTTGATTTATCACCACAAATTTTCCGAGAAAATTTAGCTCACACCCTGCCAATACAGGTAATTTGAATTGTAGTACAGAATTTCTCGAGACTTTGAGCGGCTGAGTGGCTAAAAAGTTTGCAAGTTAATTTGTATCTCTATTGCAACATGGGGATCACATGTTAATGATTCTTCCATTGCAACAAGTTGATCTTCTTTTTATGTTATCCTCCATGTACAAAGCTCAGAGTCCTTGGAACGCCTGGCCATTTTACCTACCCACCCTCATCTGTCCCTGTTCATTGTAAATTCTGTCGTGTTAAAATAGATGTCACATTGTCTATGCAATTCTGCAAGAACTTTCACTTTTCCAAAGTTTTCTATAAAAACTTGGTTTCACATTCTTGCCTCAAACAAACAAACAAAACATTGTTTTGTCTGCAAAGAAAGCATCAAACAACCTTCTATTATGTGCTAACATACAAAAATTCATGAGCAGCTTGAAGAAAAAAAAAGGGTAAAGTGGCTTCAATTCTTTACTATTGTCCCTAAACTTAAATCTTTTAAACCCTATATTAATATTTCAAGACAAGATAGGCTCACATTTTAGTTAATAAGTAATTAATATTTGTGGGTTAATATAGTATATGAAAATAAAGTGACCTATACTACATGAAGTCACAGTCAAACAAAAGAAGAGAGCGACCAACAAGGATAATCAGCAGATATCTCATCAAGACAACTCTTATTATACCCGTAATAAAACGAGTCCTAAAAATAATATCAAAACTGACCCACTTCAACGTGATTCTTTGGGACCACGCTCCCTTCCATTTTTCAATTTTCCTATTTCAATGATAAAATTAGTTTTGTTTATGAGCTGAGAACCCCTGCAGGCCTACACTGTTTAAAGACCCGAAAGAGAGAGGAGAAGGAGACAAAGAGAAGGCTCAAAAGACGCACTCACTCACTGCTCAGTGACCACTGACCAGTGCCCCCTCTCTCTTTGTTACTCAGTTCTCTACGGTTCCTAGATGTGCTGACATTGCTCCATTACTTAGATTTCTCTGTTTCTTTTCAAATCTCTCTCTCTCTCTCTCTCTCTCTCTCTTTTCTTCGGGCAAAACTTGAAAAAAAGAAGTTTCTTTCCTGTTCTACCATGGTGGTTTATGCAAAGGCACTGTTGGGTTTCCTGGCTTTTCTTGGTTTGCAGCTTCCTTTGATATCGGCAGGTTATGTTTGATTACTTTCTTGTTTCTAAAGCTCAGCTCTACTTTCCTTTTTAAGCAAGTTGCAATTGGTGTTATCACTTGTTTTTCCTTATTGTAAAAGATGTCATTTTGGGCCATTTATTATGCTTTTTTTTTTTCCTTTTCGGTCTGGGGTAAGAGTGGAATCCTGAAAAATAGGTTTTGGTTTTGAAGCAGAACATTTTGAATTATGATTTCCATTGATATGAAAATGCACGCTTTTAAAGTTTATCCATTGTTCTGTTTTGATTGTAATTGACATTAGAATGTTTGAGCTACCTGCTTTTTGTACCCAGTTATGTGGTTCAGATGATTTATAGGTACTTTCTTGTCGCTCACTGTTTAAGGAATTTGAAGACAATAACATGTTCAATCCATTATCTTTTCAATTTCTGGATTTAGCTTAATGGATACTTACAGCTCCGTGTCAAGAATTAATGGCCAAAGTGGTGTCCTTTCAACTGGATATTTCTGGCTTGCATTGTATGTTTTTGCTTGGTAAAATGATGTGGCAATGTGATTCCTATAGTATAGTGTTGATTTGGCACTGATATAGATTTTCAAATAAGGGCTGTCCATAGTATGCCAGAATTTAGGTACTTTTGGCTAGATGATGCATTCTGGGTTTCAAGTTGATTGAATAGGATCCTTTTCCTTTATAATCACCAGTAACTAGTCATTTAAAGGTTACAGAAATTTGACTGTTATACTAACACCTTCTGTCAAACATTTTCTTGGTGATTGTCAGTGATCTATTTTGCAAGTGATGAATTGAAAAGCAAAGATGGTGATGTTATTGTTGCTTGAGTCACTCGTATCTGATCAATGGTCTTACTACTTTTGCAGATTGCCCCTTAGATTTGAGCGGATCAAATTTTACTCTTGTGGCTTCTTTATGCTCTAATAAAGATGACAGAGGAAAGTGTTGCCACTATATGAATGCTTTCATTGCCTTTTCTGTTGCTCAATATGCAAATATGACAAGCAACCTAGGAGTTACATCAAATTTATCTGATTTCTGCGTCCACTCCATATTGCAAACCATGGAACTGTATGGAGTGCCACGAAATGCCACAATTTTCTGTGGGTTTGGTACAAAAATTCCCGTTAGTTATGACTGTAGGGGTCGAACAACTGTACCAGAGATGCTCGAGTCTCCAAAATTTATGGATGTCACAGAGAACTGCAAACTGCCACTTTTGCAGGAAAATGATTGCCGAAAATGTTTAAATGCTGGCATTGTCTACCTTCATCATCTAGTTGGATCTGAAGATAATATGACATTGAGTACTTGCCGAGATGCGACCTTTGCTGCGCTTGCAAGCCAAGTTGACAACACTTCAGCTATTGAAATTGCAAGTTGCTTTTTCCAAGTTCAGGGATTTAACATCCCACCAGGTATGAATAGTTTCACAAAAAACAGGGATTTGATTTTATACGAGAACTGTTTGTGTATCCGTTGTTATGTGGATAGTTTTTTGTAAGAATTCTCCCACTTTTGCAGTCTCTTGCACGGCTCAAATGTTATATGATTTTTCTTAACTTTGTATCCCTCTATCCTGCTTCCTCGCTTTTCCTCTTATCAGTGGTGATTAGAGCCAAGAAGCTTTGTTGATACATTACCTCTCTGGTACTTAAAATAGGTGGTCTAGAACAATCATCAGGCTAAAATTGAATCTTTTATGGGGACTGGAAATAAACATTGTAATGCTTTGGTGCCTTGTTCTAGAAAATTAAAAAAAAAAAAAAAAGAAACCTAAATATGCCTGGAAAAACTGATGCTCCTAATTAATATCTCATAAAAAATGTGCTTTTGCTTTCATGTGGCCATTAGATATATGAGCATGTTTTTCATGGCTTATTTTCCGCAAGTAAATGAACTTTTATGTACTCCATCCAATCAGCTAGTAATTTATTGCAATCGTGATGCTAGTTTCAGAGTCATCTCCATCTCCACCTACCCCTAAGGCTTCTCCTAGTCCGTTGGTTGCCGCTAGTCCAAGTCAACTCATTTTGGGAGTACCGCCAAAACAAAAGCACCAGACATACCACCTAACGTTAATTCCAGGCATTGGCATAGCAGTTATAGTAGCTGCTATGATGATGCTTATAGTATTGGTAGTCTTGATTCGAAGGAAGAGCAGAGAGTTAGATGATTCTGAGAGTATGGACAAGAACTCTTCAAAACTCTTTCCTTCTCCTCCACCCATGTATAAATTTCAGGAAGGTTTGTTTTGATATCACCTATTGTCCTGGATAATGGCAAGTTTTGAATGTCATTTTCTTTCAAAGGGCAGTTGTGTGATCTGATGGGGATTGGTATTAAATGCAGGTACTTCATCAATGTTTAGAAAATATAGCTACAAGGAAACAAAAAAGGCAACTGACAATTTTAACACTGTCATTGGATGTGGAGGGTTTGGGACGGTACACAAAGCTCAATTTAGTGATGGCTCAATGATAGCTGTGAAGCGGATGAACAAAGTTTCAGAGCAGGGAGAAGATGAATTTTGCAGAGAGATAGAACTTCTTGCTAGATTACACCATCGTCATCTAGTTGCTCTAAGAGGATTTTGCATTGAAAAGCGTGAGAGGTAGTTCATTCTTGTATGTACCTATGTACGTGTGTATGTCCAGGAGATTGATCCATCTACCAGCAAACTTAAATGCTTTTGCTTCTTGCAGATTTCTAATGTATGAATACATGTCAAATGGAAGCCTAAAGGATCATCTTCATTGTATGCTTCTCCTTTCCTTTAATTCACTTCTCCAAAGTTCAATATTATCCTTAAATGGGTTTGGGAAGGGGTTCTTAGGAGCAGTTTGAAGTCAGTTACATTATTTTGGTTCAAAAGAAGAATTTCTTGCCTCCATTTGACACTGTATTAACTTTTGTGATAATTGTATAACAAATTTGTACACACAAATGCAGTAGAAGGCATACTTGATCAACTGCTTCTTTCCATGTCCATCATTTGTTCATTTAATGCCCTAAATGGATTTGATCTCAAATTTGTGCAGGCCCGGGTAAAAACCCACTGAGTTGGGAGACCAGAATACAAATTGCCATTGACGTGGCTAATGCTTTGGTAATAGCAGTTGATTCTGTTGTTTTTTGGATTTGCTGATTTGTTTATACAAAATTATCATCTTGCTAAATCTCTTCTCTTTTGCAGGAGTACCTTCATTTTTATTGTGATCCACCTCTGTGCCACAGGGACATCAAATCAAGCAACATTTTGTTGGATGAGAATTTTGTTGCGAAGGTATTGTGCCTGTTGAATGCTCATTTAGTTGTACAACCACTTGTATTTTGCTCTCACATTTATGAGGAAACTCCTTATGGAGTATAATAATTTCTCTCCAGAATGCTCATAGACTCTCTCTCTCTCTCTCTCTCTCTCTCTCACACACACACACACACACACACACACAACTTGAGAACTTTTGCTTTCCTCATCATTTTCTCAATAAAGTAAATAGTAGTTTTTCTTTCTCGGTATGCATATGTTTGGATAATAAAAAATGGACTTTCAATTACTAGAGCAAGCTTTTTTTTTTTTTTTTTTCTTTTGAAGTAATTACTAGCGCAAGCTTAAAGTAATAAAAATGGAATACAACCTTCAATAACTAGAGGAAGCTGAAAGCTGGTGAAAGCACAAAAGGCCATTCTAATTTCTAAAACAATGAGAATGTTTGAGAAAATGAAACAGTTTCTGAAGAAATTAAGGAAGAAACGTTTCATATGAGAACTTTGAAGAACTTCTGTCTTCTGCATCAAAGTACATTGCTTTTAAACAATCCTGCTTTCTGCTTTACTGTATCCTCTAGGTTGCAGATTTTGGCCTTGCGCATGCTTCAAAAGATGGTTCTATTTGCTTTGAACCAGTAAATACTGACATCCGTGGAACTCCAGGTTAGCCAATAAATCATTGGAAGGCTTAATTGTCTCATATTCTTCACTTAAAGATCTAAACGTTAGATAACTTTCAGGTTATATGGATCCTGAATATGTGGTCACTCAAGAACTCACAGATAGAAGTGATGTATACAGCTATGGTGTGCTACTTTTGGAGATAGTGACTGCAAGACGAGCTATACAAGATGGCAAGAATTTGGTAGAATCATCCCAGGTACTGATGGCATCAGAGTCAAGGCTAATTGAGCTAGTGGACCCCCAAATTAAGGATTCCTTTGATTTAGACCAACTTCAGACAGTTGTGACCATTGTGAGATGGTGCACCCAGAGGCAAGGGCGGGCTAGACCTTCAATCAAACAGGTCCTTCGGCTTTTGTATGAGAGTTCAGATCCGATACAAAGTGGGTTTATACAAGCTGTTGAAGATGAAGATTATGATGGTAGTGACGGAAGAGGAAGGACAAGCAGAGGGAAAATTCCTAGGAGTGGACCTCTTTTTCACAGTGGGGATGGAAGATATCTTGCTTCATCTTCAAGTACATCAAGGTCATATTGTAGTAGAAGCTTTTTACTAGAAACTGGATCACCACAATCTCCTCAAAATATACTCTCCCTTTGAGGCCAATCATTTGTTTGCTTCATCCAACCATACAAAGAGTTGCCTCTATTTGATTAAACCATAGCTGAGATTTGAGAGATTGCTTGATGTGATTTCACTCATTAACTAGCAGGTATGCATGGTCTTTGTTATGCAGAATCCTCATGTAGTAGAGCAAGTGAATGCCATCAAGCTTGTTACCTGTACAAAAGGGAAAAAAGGATTCAAAAAGTGGTCATCTTATAATTTTCCAGTTTATTTTTCCCTTTTTTTATGGATAAATGACACAAATGTATTTTTTGCTTGTATCATTGATGCAGAGATTAGGATATTGCAGCTAGTCATTAAGATTGCCCTTTATTGATTCAAAAACTGAAAGATATGCCTCAGTACAATTGTCTTATTGCGCCTTCAAAGGGAGTTTCTGCTATTTTGTCTGTGGGAGTTTTTTTTTCTCCTTTTCTCCTCTCTTTTATGATAGGGTATGTAGGAGTTTGAAAGTCATGTAGTCTGTTTGAAATTCCATGGAAAAGTAAATCATTCTATTATTGTTTTGCCATCAAAATAAAGTACCATATGGTTTAGTAATCTCAAAGGTTCCTTGCTATGGTTGAATTCCTTGGTGCTCATATGTCAGGAGCTGAGATTCAAGTTTGAGGCTCACATGGTTTTAGAACATGAGGATAATTTTTTTCATGTTTCAAATTAGCTTAATTGTCATGGTTCACATCAATTTGTGAGGTATTGTTTACATTGACCTTCTTGGTTTCACGGTTTTGTCTTACAAAAGGAGACTCACAAGTTGAAGGTGATGTGAATCCTTATATTTTATGACTAATTCTAATATACAGTCGATGTGAAATTCATGGTTCTTCCTTAGGATCGTGACATCTTTTCCACTCCAATGAATGACCACTATCCTTGGTGGGACATTGTTAGTACTTCAAGGGTTGGCTTTAACACCACTTGTCACGTGATCAATACTCTTTTCCTTTAAAATCGATTTATCAGGGTGTGCAATACTTTGACCTTTTATCTTATGATTTTGATTCACAAAAGAGGATTAACAAGTTAAAGGTGGTGTGAATTTTTATATCTCATGATCAATTCTAGTATACAGTCGATGTGAAATTCATGACTTCTCCTTAGAATTGTGACATTTTTCCCCTCTCCAACGAATGATCACTATCCTCTAAGGATTCACAAGTTAAAGGTGGTGTGAATCTTTATATCTTATGATCAATTCTAGTATACAGTCGATGTGAAATTCATGGCTCCTCTTTAGGATTGTAACATCCTTTCCCACTCCAACGAATGATCACTGTCCTCTGTGATTGTGACATCATTCCTCACTCCAACGAATGATCACTGTCCTTTATGGTACATCACTAATACCCCTAGAATTGCTTTTAACATCACTTGTCACATGACCATTATCTTTTATCCTCAAAATCGATTTATCAGGGTGTGTAGCTTCAACGTTTTTATATTCTGTGTGAACTTTTATATCTCATGATCAATTCTAGTATACAGTCAATGTGAAATTAATGGCTCCTCCTTAGGATTGTGACATCCTCCCCCACTCCAACGAATGATCACTATCCTTTGTGGTACATCGCTAAGTGACATCTTCCCCCATTCCAACGAATAATCACTGTCCTCTGAGGATTCACAAGTTAGAGGTGGGGTGAACCTTTATATCTCATGATCAATTCTAGTATACAGTCGATGTGAAATTCATGGCTCTTCCTTAGGATTGTGACATCTTTCTCCACTCCAAAGAATAATCACTGTCCTCTGTGGTACATCGCTAAGTGACATCTTCTCCTACTCCAACGAATGATCACTGTCCTCTGTGGTACATCGCTAATATCCCTAGAGTTGCTTTTAACATCTCTTGTCACATGACCATTACCCTTTCTCCTCAAAATCGATTTATCAGGGTGTGTAGCCTCAACTTTTTTATATTCTCCAGACCTGGCTCTAACACCACTTGTCACATAGCCATTACTCTTTTCCCTTAGAATCGGTTAATGGTGTGTAGCCTCAACGTTTTTATATTCCCCAGAGCTAGCTACGAATGATCACTGTCCTCTATGGTACATCGCTAATACCCCTAGAGTTAACCTGTTACACCAAAAGATGCAGTCAACACAACCAGAATCATGCCTGTAACTCAAGTCAATTCGTGAGGTTTTTTAAAACCACCAATGAGATAGACACGAAATACATGCAGGATCATCATTAAGACCATCATACTTGCCGACCATCGATGAACTGATCGGATTAACCAACCAAAGTTAACTTCAGTCATTATATATTGAACAGAAGTAAAAGCTTCAGTAACGGTTGGACGATAGTAAAAAGTCATAGCAAATCCTGTAGCTACTTGTATCAAAAAACAAGTAAGCATAATTCCTCATAGACAATAAAATATGTTAACATTAGGAAGAACATATTTACTAGTTATATCATCTGCAATCGCCTAAATCTCGAGGCGTTCTTCGAACCAATCATAGACTTTATTGAGATAGGTAAACCAAGAGAACTCCCCCTCTGAGAACCGTATATGAGAATTCAGGGTGTGTAGCCTCAATGTTTTTATATTCCCCAGAGCTGGCTACGAATGATCACTGTCTTCTGTGGTACATCGCTAATACCCCTAGAGTTGCTTTTAACATCACTTGTCACATGGCCATTACCTTTTCTCCTCAAAATCGATTTATCAGGGTGTGTAGCCTCAACATTTTTATATTTTCCACAGCTGGCTCTAACACCACTTGTCACATAGCCATTACTCTCTTCCCTTAAAATCGGTTAATCAAGGTGTGTAACCTTAACGTTTTTATATCCCAATGACCTCTATTTCATATTAGATGTGGGATTGGAGTACCTTATCTACTCTCTTTTGAAGGCTTAACGGACATTCTCTTCCACCCAACCTTATCACATGATCATTATCTTCTCCCCTCAAAACCAGTTTATCAAGGTGTGCAACGCCAACATTTTTATATCGCAATGACCCACGTTTAATGTCTAATATGGGATTGAAGTATCTTGTCTACTCTCTCTTGAAGGGCTTGGTGTGACGCTCTCTCACCCAACCTCACGACGCCCTCATTACGGAGATTGATCACCCTGTCTGTCCTCTTTCAAGGCATTTGACGTGGGTCGAATGGTCCAAGGTCTACTCTGATATCACTTGTCACAAGTTAAAACTCAAGCTCTAGACTCGCGCAGCTCCAAGACAGGAGAATGACCCCTCTTTCGTGTTTTAAAGCCGCCTAATTGTTATGACTCACCAATTTGTGAGATATTGTCCCTTTCTTGATCTCGCGATTTTATCTCACAAAAAGTATCTCACAAGTTGAAAGTGATATGAACCTTTATATCTTATGATTAATTTTAATACACAATTGATATAAAATTTGTGATTTCTCCTTTAAGGCCGTGACACGTGCTTATAATTGATGCTGAAAACTGAGGGTTCCTCTGTTTCCTTGAGCCAACCCATGCGTGTCTAGACTAAAAGGCTTGAGACGGAGAAAACCGAAAAAATGGAAAGATTGTCTCCAAATCTGATGATCAAAATTGTTACAATCACTCTTGCTTATTTCTTTGGGCGATCCAAACTATAATAACACATTTTGCCAGCTAATATTAGGTCGCTATCCGACAAATAATGTTGGAAAAATCGTTTTTGTAACTTTGGATGACTCATCTTACATTTAGTCCGGCCATTGGAAAATCAGAAAATTCATTGATTTACTCTGATGTATTAACTTGGGGACGATCCATGTCTATAAGTAAGATCCTCTGAATCTTCAAATATCACATCCAGGTGGTATTAATGACCTCAGGACTCCTCATTTCTATCTCCATTTTATTCTCTATTGCCACATCCTCGTCGGCATCAGAACGGCCTAGGACCTACACTATCCATATGGACAAATCAGCAAAGTCCGCTATCTTTTCCACCCATCACGATTGGTATATGTCAACCCTCTCATCCCTGTCATCACCAGATCGCTTTTTCCCATTGCATCTCTACGCTTACAATCATGTGATAGATGGTTTTAGTGCTGTGTTATCCCAAGCCCACCTTGATCAACTTCACAAATTGTCTGATCATCATGAAGCATTTGGTCACCTTCGTACCATCCGTACCCCAACATTTACTGGATTGAAGAAATATACCGGGTTATGGCCTGTTGGTGGATTCGGTGATGACTTGATTATTGGGGTCCTTGATACAGGCATCTGACGTGACAGCGAGAGTTTTAATGATGAAAGCTTGCCGCTGGTGCCAGAGAAATGGCGTGATGCATGTGAAAGCGGTATTAAACTCAATTCATCTTATTGCAATAGGAAGCTAATTGGGGCAAGAACCTTCAGCAAAGGCATGCAGGAGGAAAAAATGAACATCTCAAATACAGATGACTCCGATTCACCACCGAGGGACTACAATGGTCGTGGTACCCACACATCGTCCACAGTAGCAGGCACCCGGGTGGTAGGTGTTGATTAGTTTGGATATGCAAAAGGAATAGCTATAGAAATGGCACCAAAGGCTAGGATTGCCATGTACAAAGTGCTGTTCTTTGACAACAGTTATGATGCCGCAGCAACTGATGTACTGGCTGGCATGGATCAAGCTATAGAGGATGGTGTGGATGTCATGTCATTGTCTTTGGGGTCCATTGAGACTCCGTTTGATGAGAATCCTATTGCAATTGGAGCTTTTGCAGCTTTGAAGAAAGGGATATTTGTTTCATGCTCAGCTGACAATAATGGTCCTCATGCATATACCATTCTCAATGGGGCTCCTTGGATCACTACCGTTGGTGCTGGAACCATCGATCGAGACTCCGCAGCTCATGTCACGCTTGGTGATGGAGAGTTAACTGTAACTGGAAAATCTGCCTATCCAGAAAACTTGTTTGTCTTGGGCGTTCCAATATACTTTGGACATGGAAACCGAACCAAAGAACTCTGCGATTTTTACTGGCTGGATCCCGAAGAAGTTGCTGGAAAGTACTTATTCTGTGACTTCGACCCCAGCGGCCAACTAAATCCAAATCAACAAACTTTTGAAATGGACAGAACTGGGGCTGCTGGAGCTATATTTAGCTCGGACGATGGGCTGTTTTTCCAACAACGATTTCTACAATCCCTTTGTGTTACTAAATCCGAATGACGGAGATCTGATAAAAAATTACATAATCAATTCCAGGAATGCAACAGTCAGTATTAGGTTTCAAACAACCCTTTTGGGTACTAAGCCAGCTGCACAAGTGGCTTACTTTTCATCTAGAGGACCTGATAGAAAATCACCATGGATACTGAAACCCGATATTTTGGCTCTTGGAGTCGACATTTTGGCTGCTTGGGTCCCCAACAGAGGCTTTCCACCAATTGATGACTATGATTATTTGCTTACAGATTACGCTATTGAATCTGGAACATCCATGTCAAGCCCCCATGCAGCTGGCATAGCCACACTGCTTGAAACCACCCACCGCGACTGGAGTTCGGCAGCCATCCGATCAGCAATGATGACAACAGCTGATGTTATTGATAACGCAAATGGCCGTATCATTGACATGACCACAGGGATTGCTGGGACTCCTCCTGATTTCGGAGCAGGGCACATAAATCCTAACAAAGCCCTGGACCCGGGCCTAGTCTACGATATTGAGATTCCAGACTACATCGACTACCTTTGTGGGTTAAACTACACAAGAAGACAGATCCGGAATATCACGGGAAGGTCTCGTTGGACAAAATAATCTTTTAGTACCATCGTTTTAACGAAAATAAAATTAATTAATTAATTATATAAAAATAACAATTTAATATAATTCGATTCAATTAATTTATATTAATAAATAAAAAAATTATAAACATACATCAAATTAATTTATTATTCAATAATCAAAATTTATAGATCTTTTTAATTTTTTTATGAAATATTTTTAATTCAAATAAATACATACTCATATATACTTTTAATACAAATAAACACATATTCATATATTTTCATTTATTATATCTATGTGGACTCTCTTAATCTCCTTTAGTTCACTCTCATGCACTATATTTATGTGAATTTTTACAATCTATTTTATTCAACTCACAAACATATAAATATACAAACCCAAAAGACGTAAATCTCTAATATTCTTATGTGATGTCTATCTCATAACATTCTACAATTCTCTTACATATTTTTCTCATAGCTAATCATATAAAGACTTCACATATTTATAAACATACAAATTTGTCTATTACGAATATTTTTCTTCTTATAATTTTTTTTTGTAAGTTAAATTTCCCTATTAAGAATTACTTTTTTTTAGAATTATTCTTTTATAATTTTTCTTATCTATCAAGCAATATCTAATAAATTTCAAATAAATCTGTTGTGAGATTTGAATCACTATTTTTAATAATCTCTATCTTGATTCAAATTTCATCAAATTATTTGTCTTCATACTATACATACTTGACTTCACTTACAGTGAAAGTCTCATAATCATCTTTTCTTGTGTGTTAATGCTTCAGGTAAATCGATCATCAATCCTTAAAACATGAACTTGAACTCTATTTTTGAATCGAGCTCCTCTAGGCTTGCTTCTTCTTATGTCTCTAATCTCCGCTTCTTATGTTAGCCCTGATACCATTTGTTAGATAAAAAAAAAAATCTAATCCAATAACACTAGTGAAAATAAAATCAAACAATTAATTAATCACGTAAAAGATAACAATATAACGTGATTCGGTTTAATCGATCTACGTCCACGAATGAAAAACAAAATCCATAAGTTATAGAAAATTACAAATATACATCAAATCAATCAACCATTTAGCAATCAATACTCAAACCCTCTTAATCTTTTTTAATTTTATAAAGTATTCTTAATCCAAATAAAAATATATCCATGTATATCCTTTCAACACAAATAAACACATACCTATATATACACATTCATTATATTTAAATAAATTCTCTCAATCTCTTCTAGTCCACTTCCATGCACTATACCTATGTGGATCATTTCAATCTTTTTTAGTCTATTTATAAACAAACATACACATTTATAAGATATAAATCTCTAGCATTTCTATGAGGTGTTTATTTCATAAAATTTTACGATTCTCTTACATTTTTTTTTCATACATAATCTTATAAAAACTTCATCTATTTATAAGCATACAAACTTACCTATTAAAAATTCATTTCCTCTTAAAATTTTACTTCTGCAACTCAAATTTGTTTATTAAAATTTTTTTTTTAAATTTTTTTATCCATCAAACAATATCTAATAAATTTTAAATAAATCTATTATAAAATTTAAACCATTATTTCCAACACATCTCACTTTACATGTGATAATGCTATCCTCGATCCCAATTACCCATCATTCATCATTATCTTGAACAATACTAACACAACCAGCATCACCTTCCAAAGGGAACTGACAAATGTGGCAGAGGGTAGCTCGGTTTCTCGAGCAGTGGTGAGTGTTCCCTCAGGTATGAAAGCTGTAGTGCAACCAGCAACAATTACTTGCAGGAAAATACAGTAAAGCCAAGTTCCAACTCACCGTTGACATTGATGTCGGAGTAGCAAGTATCCCTCAAAGTGATTACTACGGGAATTATGGATTCCTGAGCTGGTACGAGGTCGATGGGAAGCATGAAGTTAGAAAGTCCAATAGTCTCTGCATTCGCACCTTAAGCCAAATTGGCTGGAAATTTCTTTTTTTTTTTTGTTTTTTAGTAAAATAATGGAGCAAAAGAAAAAAAAAAACAAAGGATTGATAACTCGATATTTTAATTTACAACAGAGTTCCACGTCATATGTTGATCAGTTACAATGACAAGGCATGAGAATTACATGGAAATTTTAAACTCCAAATCCATGCATGATGCACAACAAAAATAACAGTGCTCCCAGCCTGTCCTATCTACCACTTATGAAACCGTGGCAAAACAAATTAAAAGAGAGAGAGAGAGAGAGAGAGAGAGATAGAGACAGATCAGAGACCAAGCATTGATAAGCATTGCTCAAAGGTCTGATCTATTCTTTTTTTTTTTTTTTGTAAAAAAAGAAACAACGGCTTAGAGGAAAGAATCTGTCTGATTCTTCTAGCTACCCACTGCAAAGAGAAATTTCCTCTTGCTTACTGGTTCTTCATGCAAGACCACAACTTCCCTCACCTTGTCAAACAACTCCTCCAGCTTCTCAACACCGAGCTTTCTATAGTCCAACGGTTTCTTATACCGCTGCTGGTATATTTCTTCAAAGCAACCCAGGAAAATCCGGCAAGAATAACTCACAAGAATTTCCTGCAACTCATATTTAAATTGTTCAAGATTGCGCTCATCAACATCACATCCTGCTACTCCAAAGTTAGTCCATCCTTCATTCCTCCTCTCATCACGTTCTTTAACTACCACTCTTTCCTCATCAGAAAACTCATCAGAAGAGCCAGCACCTGCAGCAACATCAATGTTTTCTTCCTGATTCCCCCTCCCCTTTTTATCTTTCCTTGCCAGATCCAAAGGAGGTGCACTTGGGCCTGCTTTCCAGTTTCTAAGGTAGACAAATTTCTTATGACCTTTTCCATCAATTGCCAGAGTGTCACCCATCTTTTTGAACAGATTAACAAGTTTGAATGCCCCATACTCTGCCACGTAAAGAGGCCTCCCAAAAAACTTTTGATACTCAGCAGGAATTCGGGTAAGAGGCATGCATCCTCCTGAAAGTTCTAGCAATTTCACCAGTTGTCCCTTCAAACCATTTATGTCTCCAGGTTGTACCCACATAGTATCATTCTGATCATAAAAGCCAGGACATCCCGATGCTTCATTTAAACCGGATGGGAGACTTTGTGACCTCAAAGTTGTAGGGAAAGAAGGTACGGCTATTGAAGGGTTACTTGTATATTCAGAAAATGATTGTGACACAATTGAGAAATCTCTCGAGTTGTAATAGCTTTGTGAAATGCCCCTATAAACTATTGCCTCTTCCTCATTTTGGCTATCTGGATTGTCACTAATATGGCACCCCATGAAATAACCAGCAATATCAGCTAATCCTCCTCGAGGAGGCGTTAAGGCCTTTGAGGGAGGTACAAAACCTTCCCCACGAGCAACACTAGACCAGTCCCAAACAAATTTACCAGCACTGCTCAGCGCGGATGAAACACCAACCCCAGCAGGAATAACAAGAATGATTGTATATCCACGTTGGCCAAGTATGTGAAGAGCTGGAGCGAAATCAACATCCCCTGAAATCAGCATGATAGATGAAGGTGGAGGGTTATCAAGGGCGAATAAAAACATGTCAACCAAGATAGCCTTGTCAGCAGCATCCTTCCTTCCATTTGGGACATCTATCAGTTTGACACCGGTTCTCTGGCAGCCCTCCCTGAGCCTCCTAGGGAAGGCATTAAAATCCCCATAAGCAGAAAACATCAAGACAGCTCCTTTAATTACAGGATGCACTTGCAAAGCCATTCTTATATTCCCTGCTACATCTTCAGGCCGGACATCACCTGGGACAGGGCAGTTCTTTATATCCCAAAGGATAGCCACAGGACCATCAGAGGAGGTTCGATTTTGGTGGTTCATAGGAGGTTGAAGCACATTCATGTTTGACTCCACCATAAGAGTTCCCCTTTGTTCCCCAGATTCTGAAGGAACCATGGATGTTGATGCATTTAGATTGGCCATCATCACCCTCTTTTATCAGAAAATCAACCAGCAGAGAATTTATGGGAAAAATAATGAGAGCCAATACAAGGATGTTATGACAAGTAATCCTTAAGGCCGAACAAAGCAAATTCTGCATACGTCACAGAGCAATATCTGAAGAAGAAATATTAACAAACCAGTCAAGAGCTAGAATTAAGATTGCTAAGTTCATTGCACAAACAGAATCCTATAAGAAATATTAGACAGAAGTTAACAATGTATAAACACAATAACTTGCAACTAGACCTGGCGATTCGTGTCATCGTATCGTGTAAAATATTATATTTACATCATGTTTTACACGAAAAGCTTGTCATAGTTAGTGTCAACACAAAAACATAAAATACAATTTTTTGGTTTTATTAAAACTATTTATGGTTTTTCTAAAATTTTAAGCCATATTATTTCCGTATATTTTATTTGTATTGTTTTCATATCGTGTTATCATATTGTGTTTCAAATTGCTAGGTCTACTTGTAACATGTGTTGATACTACTTTGGATAAAAGGGTATAGACAAAGCATCACTTGGATACAGAAAGAAAGAAATTATGAGGAGGAATACAATACAACTGGTTATCCTAATAGTTAGTAGTGTACCGGTCAGAACTTTCCAATTTATGGAAATGTTAGCATGGTAATGAAAACAACCAATCATCTTGATGTTTCCCTTAGCATCTGTTCTAGATACTCGCCACATAAATCATTCAAAGTAAAACAGAAAATGCATATAAAAGAACCTAAAACATGGTGCTTGAGAGAAAAAAATGGTGACATAGTTTACTAGTGGTTGTTAAAACAGTTTTTGATTGTGCAAATGTTCATTTATAAGCACTTGATCAGAAAAGGATGTGGAAAACAACAATGCGAAAAGTAATTATGCATCTATAGGACTCCTTGGATGCAGAAAGCTGAATACCAAAAACATTTCTAGCAATTCCCAACACCAAATCAGTTTCTTAATTCTTGGGAATGAAAACCACAACTGAAAATTTTTTCCATTCAAGTATTGCCCTAAGTTCTAAGCTTTACAAATTAAAATTGACAAAATTTATTATATCACGTATTGAAGATGAGAACCCCGCACACACTCGCAAGACATACCACAACTCCTAAATTCAATCAGTAAACTCCACAGCTAGAACGAACTGAAAAAAGGATTAATCCAATATCTATTTAAAACCCAATTTTCCCCCATTAAACAAAGCAACACACAAACAAAAAGTAAAATATCCAATGATCACTCAATCAAGAAAAATAAAAATTAAACAAGAATTAACACCAAAGATAGATGAAAAGGGTACCTTGTGTCAAGACCATAACACCATAAATTATGCGTCTGTCCCCAGAAACCAATAATCTCAGATCCTGAAACCAAAAAGAAGAAAGAAACACAGAAAGATCCAATATTTAATAAAAGAAAGGATCTTTATTTCAAACCCACAAAAGTTGAATTAAAAATTAGGTTCACTTCAAGAGAGAAAAGAAGAAACCTGGGGAAACGGGCAGGTATTTCAATTGATGGGTTTATCTTATTTAAATAAAAAAAAAAGGAATTGAGATAATCTGAGAAAACTGAGAATCAGAAAGGTAAAAAAATGGAAAGAGTAATTACACAATCATTGCTGTGGAGGAACTGGTTGCTTTCTTAGTACAAGCTACTATTTTTGGGTATAGACAGTAGATTCGACTTTCGGCAGCGGCTTTGCCTTGTTTTTTAGTTGGGCTTCGCTTGATTGCTTTGTTTTTGCGAAAAATATTTGCAAACAGTTTGAAGGAAATAAACATAAGAATCGTGCGTGCGTGGTTGTTTGTCTAGTTTTTTGGACGGCTAGATTTTGTTCCTGTAAGAACACGTGGAATTTCTTACCTCTTTGCATCAGAACTCGGTCGGTCTAATTAACATAAGGGAAAAATAATAAAATAATAAAAAATCCTTACATTTTATTATTTTATTTAAATAAATTCTCAAATTTTTATTCTTATCTAAATAAATTTTTTAACGTTTAATTTATATCTTTGATTTTGAATTATATTTAAATAAATTTTTAATTGTTAATTTATAACTAAATAAACTTTCAACATTTAATTTATATCATAAATTAATTTTTTCAAAATCCATAGGATGTTTAGCTCACAGTTTTAAAGATTGAAGTAAATTTGGATAGATATTAACTGAAATTTTATTGCTTTTTTGTAGATAAAAAAAAAAAAAGTCAACGATTAACAAAGGAAGTTTTGATAATGCGACACTGATCGATCATCCTCTCTAATTTTGCTTCCCATCTTAAACAGAACATTTCTACCTTCAACTTGAAAAACCCTTAAAACTGTATGAAAGAGAATCTGGGGACATGTGGAAGATTGATTGTATTGGTAGAACAATTTAAAGTTTTAAAACACCAGTTTCAGTAGGGAAAAAAAGGACAACCGTGAACAAAAAGGACCATTTCGAAGCTATGGCGATAACAGCAACTAGCGAGATACAACTAAAGAATGTACAATTTATGCACCGCATAATCCACTTGACATATATATGCAAGAAAAGATGAAACCTTTACTGGTTGTTCCAGTTGTGCACTACATTGTTTAGGACTTCAGAACCCTCTCTATAGCAGTTATATAAAAGTCCTTGGGCATGGTACCGACAACAGACTCCCGCTTCTCTCCATTTTTGAACAGCAACACCACAGGAACAGCCTTAATTTCATAATCCTCTGCAATTGGCAAGTCACTGTCGGTGTTGAGCACAAAGCAGTTAAGTCTCCCGGAATAATCTCCTGCAATCTCATCAATAATTCGGTGAACCATCCTACAGGGGCCGCACCAGCTTGCATAAAATTCGACTAGAACAGGGGTATCACTGTTCAATATCAATTTCTCCCATGTGTCTTTAGTAACCACTGCAGCTGCAAATAATCAACAAAACATGGTCAATTTGGCCTTCAAATGTTCTATAATATCATCACTTATATCTCAAAAGGAAGAAACTAGAAGCAATGCACCGAGTACATGCACACAAGCTTTACAAAACTTAAATTGCTCTTAAAATACTGAAGCAGCATTAGATCATTACCTCTAAGAGACAGTGAGACACCATGTTCAATTCTGTTAGTCGTTTCTTACAGCTTCTAAAGCTTAGAAAATAGATTGACATCCCAATTCCTGAATACAAAAGCTAAATTCCAAACTGTTGGTAATATCTCAGTTGGTTCGACCACTACGATACATTACAAAACAATCTCATCTTTTCAAAGTACCCTTTCTTCTATCCACAGCACCAGCAGTAAAGATTTTATGTTGCATGGCACCGCTACAAACAAGTTTTTTGGCTGATAGATCAAGTTAATTTTAGCGAAAGTATCAGCTTTGAAAACATAAAACTCACATATAATTATATAGTCGTAAACTTTACACTGAAAATTTCCGAGATCTAATCTACCATGATACATAGCAACAAATCCGAATGGAATTTAGTTTGAATCTACACATCTCCAAATTTAATAAAATCAGTCAAAAGGCTCTTCTATCGTTTCTCTTTTGCAGATCCAGTGTCAGATTCATCCAGCCAAAGCCATAAAGAGACAGAGAATATCTAAATAACCACCCTATTAAAGAAAAAGTAAATAACCAATGTTGAGGGTTCATATCCAACGTTTTAACACTCGTTTGAAAGCACCAAATCTTCAAAGTTAAACTATTTCCTAGACTTGGCCGCTAGTTGCCACAACTACGACCAACCGAATATTTTAACACACAGATGCACACAAACGCCTTTTGATTGGTTAAAGCTAGATTTTACAAATTCCCGGAAAATTTTTGCCTGTTTTCTTTCCTCAAATTTCTGGGTAACCAATCAATCAAACTTCACTGGATACGCCACAAGAAATATGAAATAACATCCGAAAAACATAAACCCGATTAACATAGTAAAGCAGTATCAGATCAAATAAAAACCCACCATTTCAAACAGTATTAAAAAAACTCCAACAAAGAGTAAGACATTACCTTTGGGTTCACGGGTGGAGAGGGTCTTGAGAGTGAGAGGAGGCGCGTTACGAAGCTTAAAGGACCCATTTTTCAAAGGAAAGGAGATCCTTGAAGAGTTTAGCTTAAAGGGCAAGTGACAAGAAATGGAGCGTGCGGAAGCAAAATAAGAGTGGCTAATCGAAGTAGAAGAAGCCATTGAAGAAATAAAGAAGGAAAAAGACAGAGGGTTTTTATTATTGTAGCGAGGAATCGGATGCTTTATAGAAAAAGGACAGCGGTTTTGGTTTTGGAAGATTTCTGGTTTGTTGGTAGCAGCAGCCGCTCAGTCCCAGTCCGCCTACCAGAAAAACCAAAGAATCAAATGGAAATAAAACATGTGCTCTTTTTGTTTTATTTTGATTTTTCGAATCGGACCCAGGTGTAAAGGTGAGCCCATTTTTGTTGAATTTTCGATCCTGATCCATGACTAAAGGTAGGGCCCGTTGGGTCTGGTTCGTTCTGGCTCTTTGGATGGGTTGGGTCTGGTTGTTTGATTCTAGTGGGTGGGGAACTGGTCGGTTAGTTTGGCCCAGTTCAATGGGTTGGGTCTGATTGTTTATGGTGGAGGGTAAGGAAAGAACCAGTTTTGTAATTGGATCTGATTAGTTTGGCCCAATTGAATTGAGTCCGGTTCGTTCGGTGGTGGGTACGGAAGGGGCCAGTCAGTTTTGAAATTAAAAATAATATTATATAAATATAAACCACGCCCGGTGGGACTCGAACCCACAATCGCCTGATTAGAAGTCAGACGCCTTATCCATTAGGCCACGGGCGCTATTGATAATGCTGTGCTTTATTATTAATAATTATTTTTTATATTATTAAGAGTCTGCAACCGAAAATCCGATAAATTAAAACATTTCAGTGCTAAATTTTTGAGCAACGTAAGTAAATGTGAGTTTAGTAAGTTAGTATAGGCATCTCATACATCATGAACATAAACTTATTCTGGCTTCAGTGAAAGGCACACAAACCTTACAAAAGTTATGGGTCTTCGCTAACAGCATTTTAACATTTGACACAATGATTAATGATTTATGAGCTGCATGCAATTGGTTGGAAGAGGACGGATTGCAAGTTATGATTATGATTACATTCTAAATACACCATATTTGGTATCTTCCAATGGGTGATTCATGGATGCCGAGATGCAGAGCCCAATAATTTTCCTGGTATCAGCAGGATCAATAATACCATCATCCCAGAGCCTAGCTGTGGAGTAATATGGATTTCCTTCTCTCTCATATGCCTCCACAACCTTAGCCTTGAACTTCTCCTCTTCTTCTTTTGTCCACTGGAATACAAGAATGAGCAAGCACAGAGAAACAAGCATCGGTTCATAACTGCTTGGATTCAATAGAAGAATAATCATCATTCACTGCTTGAGAAGAAGATAAGTTTACCTGAATTCCTTGCCTTTTCTTGTTGGCCCCTTCAATTTGAGACAGCACACCAGCGGCCTAATTGTTTCCAGGAATAATTCAACATATGATATGATCAGCCAAAACTCAGAAAATTCGAGTAAACAAAACTAAGAAAATATTTTGAGAGATATCTGCATAACTCGTAAAATGTCTGGCTACCTAAGCGTAAGGAATAGCATTCATGACATGAATGGAAGGTTCTCGTGTTTATCATAATTTCAATGGTGTACATCCATTCATGTTTAGAAGACAAAGACAAAGAATGATTTCAACGGAGCAAACTCATAATTTCAATGCTTGTGGTAAGCCACAAGCATGATGAAATTTCATGGCATATTGTATATGAATATAGGATGAAGGAAATGCTACTTTTAAGATTAGGATAGACTTCTCTATTGTTATTTAAACCAGGGATATAATGTATTGTTGGCACAAAGATTATATGTGAGAAAGTATTGACCAACCTGTGCACCACCCATCACAGATATTCTCGAATTTGGCCAAAGGAACAGGAAGTTTGGATTAAAAGCACGACCACACATTGCATAATTTCCCGCACCAAAACTTCCACCAATCATAATAGTCACTTTTGGTACCTGTAAAATCATCATTCAAGAGTGGTGAAGAGGTAAACATTATAAATGTGTATCGGTATGTTTCTGTCCATGTACCCCATGATTGTATTTTAAAATAGATGACAAAACAAATTTATACAAATAAGGAGGTGAAAGAAATTAAAGCAATTTGTTCATCTACGCATCCATCAGTGTATATCATAAGAATAACACACAGAGCCAATAAACAATGTTGGAAGATGATACCTACCTTTGCACAAGAAACTGCCATCACCAATTTAGCTCCAGATTTTGCAATACCATTTGCCTCAGATCTTGAGCCAACCTAGCAGTTGAGAATAATCAGTACGGTTTGAAAGTGATATTAGCTCCATCAACTTCAGAGCAAAAAAGAGGCATAAATAATGGTTGTTGACAAAATTCAGTGATTTCAAACCAAGTGCATAATATTCTACTAAATCAGTTTGATAAGTAACACTCCGCATGAATCATGAATGCAAGGACATAAAGCATTGATAGGCTTGGAAGGAAAGTGTGGGATAATGTACCATAAATCCAGTGATGTTCTGAAGAAAGACCAAAGGAATGTTACGTTGAGAACAAAGTTCAATGAAATGGGTCCCTTTAAGTGCAGATTCATTAAATAATATCCCATTATTTCCAAGGATTCCCACAGGTTGTCCAAAAATTTTAGCAAAACCTGTTACAAGTGTCTGCAACAATACGATCAAGGTTAGCAGATTCATGCACATTATGAGGAAAAACAACTTCGAAAACCCAAGAGATATTCAAGTCCTCACAGTTCCATACAGTTTCTTGAACTCGTCAAATTCACTTCCATCAACAATACGAGCAATAACAGATCGGACATCAAATTGCAGCTTGTGGTCTACTGGTGCAATGGAACGAAGTTCTTTCACATCATACAATGGTTGTTTATATTGAAGGTTTGTGCTAGGAGATGTATTCAGTATCCCTTGTTTCCCAGCCAAGTGCAAGTTCTTGACAATATTCCTCCCAAGAGCAAGTCCATGCATTTCATCTACAGAAAAACATAAAAGAAATTGCAAATCCTCACATAATCCTAAATTGAGAGATTCCGATAGTAGTAACAGAGGATAAGGAAACAACACCTTGAGCAAAATAATCCGAAACCCCTGATGTCTTACAATGAACAGTAGCACCACCTAAATCCTCTGCAGAGACTTCCTCTCCGGTAGCAGCCTGCCAAAATTTCCCTTTTAAGTATTATCTAATACAAACAAACACATTGAAACAGATAAGTGCAAGGAAACTAACCTTGACAAGAGGTGGTCCAGCTAGAAAAATGGTACCATTTCCCTTAACCATGACACTTTCATCAGCCATGGCAGGAATATAAGCACCCCCAGCAGTACAAGAGCCTAACACCAATGCAATTTGAGGAATGCCTTGAGCAGACATGGTAGCTTGATTATAAAAAATTCTACCAAAATTTTCCTTGTCTGGAAACACCTCAGCTTGCTTTGGAAGAAAAGCACCTCCACTATCAACTAGATAAATGCAAGGTAATTTGCATTGAGCAGCAATTTCTTGTGCCCTTAGATGTTTCTTAATGGTAATCGGATAGTAAGTTCCTCCTTTAACAGTTGGATCATTAGCCACAAACATACAAAGTCTCCCATGAACTGGACCAATTCCTGTTATTATTCCAGCTGACGGTAAAGGGTCTTCGTATAATTCATGCCCTGCAAGCTTTTTACATGAAATGTTCAATAAGGAAGCAGAAGACACCCAGAAAAGAAAAAAGAAAACAAACAAAAACCCATTTTAAAAGAGAAGAAATGGCCAAAAGAACCTGAGACAATTCGAGGAAAGAAGAACCAGGATCAAGGAGACGATCGATTCGTTCCCTAGGAAGAAGCTTATTTCTGCTCCTGTTCCTCTTCACAGCAGTTTCTCCTCCTCCAGCAAGAACCTTAAATCAAATGAGTTTTTAACTAATAGCACTAAGAGAAGAACTGGATATATATTTTGTTGAGAAAGTGGGAGGAACCTTGTTGATATGGGATTGGAGTTCAGACAAGAGAAGTTCCATGGCATCGGAGTTTTGGGCAAAAGTGTCGGAGCTTCGGTCGACTCCATCGGGAAGGAGTCCTATGGAAAAGTGTTTAGTCTGGAAAAGTTGGATTCGATTAGCTATTAGACATGGGGTTGAATTTACACTCCAAGAAGCTGACGCTGCTTTCCTCACCAAAGACCTTAGCATTTCTCTCTCTCTCTTTTTTTTGTTCTTTTTCGGTTGTCAAAAGAAGCTCACAATTTGATAAAAAATAATAATAATAAGGTTCAGACTTTAGCGTTAGAACTTAAAGGAAGAGTTTATAGATTGTAGTGCATTTTAATTGTTTATCCTCTTCGCTGGCTTTGCGTATAATCCATATCCACCAATTTTAACTGGATCCTGAAAACGCAGCGTTCTACTGCCTCTCCCTGCCCTTTGGGTGCAAAACGACATCGTTGTGGTTACTGTGGAGTGTGGGTGGCAGCGGATAAGATAAAAGCATCAAATTTCTTGTTTTCAGCTGGAGAAGTAATTTGCTTTCCATACTCCGGTATTGCGAGGAATGGATACTTTGTCGTGTTTGGTGTTGAAACCACCAGCTCCTACGAGGTTATTTGGTTCGAGGCTTTCTCAAATCGCAGCTTTTGGCTCTGCAACGTTTCTTTCTAGCTTAACGTTTCCTTCTTCAATGGACTATCAACTTCCAAGAACTACTGCAAAACGCTCTTTCAAACCCATCAAAGCGTCGTCTTCAGCAGTTCCCACAACCCCATCAACAACTGCGACGGTTATAAACACAACCACCACTGTCTCTCCCAAAAAGGTGTCTCCTTCCTTAAACCCTATACCCTTCTTTTTATTCAAATGTCAAATTTTGGCTTTTTGTTTTAAATATGCTATATTTTTCTTTGCAATTGATATTTTTCTAATATCTGCAAAACCCTTTTCACTAGAGATTCACCGAGTGACTGTGTTTGGTTTGATCACATTGTTAAGCACTTAGCTTCATGGGTTTTAATTAGTATTTCTAATATTGATATAGAAAATTAAATTTTTTATCTTTGTTGTTTTTTTGTGTGAATGGATAGGTTTTGGTTCCAATTGGATTTGGTATAGAGGAAATGGAAGCTGTTATATTGGTTGATGTTCTGCGCCGTGCTGGTGCAGAGGTGACCATGGCCTCAGTGGAACCGCAGCTTGAGATTCAAGCATCCGGTGGCACTAGATTGGTTGCTGATACAACCATCTCCACCTGTACTAATCAAGTTTTTGATCTCGTGGCATTGCCAGTTAGTTCTTCAAACCCTGTATTTTCATATTTGCTTAAGATATAATGTCACTATGACTGCATATTCATACATTGTTAGTTGTCACAAGAGTACCAAGGGGTGTGTTTTTATTTGTTGTGACAATGAACACTAGGCATTTGGTTTAGAGGTGTCAGCTGTCTATGGTAACAATAGTAGTGTTGGAATTATGCTCTCCAACTGGAAATAACCTCAAACACATCTGGGATTAATGCGACACTTCTTCTTTCTGAGAATATGGCTGTGCTTCCCCTAATCTGTAATTTTACTGACCAAGAGATTGATTTGTTATTTATAGTTCTTCGGGTAAATTATTTTTAGTATACATTTCATGCTGCTGGTAATTTTTTGTAATATTTGAAGGGAGGAATGCCTGGTTCTGCACGATTAAGAGATTGTGAAATTCTCAAGAAAATTACAAGTAAACAAGCTGAGGAAAAGAGGCTGTATGGAGGTATATCTACTGCTCCAGCAGTCACATTTCTCCCTTGGGGTCTCTTGAGGAGGAAGCGGGTGAGTATTGGTTTACAATAAATTTGGAGTTTTGTGCATATCAATGAATTTTGATTGCTAAATTTGATGTAGTTTATCATGCAAGATAACTTGCCACCCTGCATTCTTTGACAAGCTTCCAACCTTCTGGGCTGTCAAATCAAATATTCAAGTTTCGGGAGAGCTTACAACAAGCCAGGGCCCTGGAACTTGTTTTCTGTTTGCTCTGTCCTTAGTTGATCAGCTTTTTGGGGAGTCTGTGGCCAAGGCGATTGCAGAAGTGTTGGTAAAGCCTTTTACTCTGTTGCTTTCAAAGTCTCTTTATGGTGCTTCACCCTTGCTTGTTTGATCCACGTGATAGACAATCACATTCATTTATGTACATAGAGTGATGTGGGCTTATATTTATTTTGATTTCTTTTTTAGTTTCTGACAAGACTTCATCTGCAATATTGAATTCTCAACTAAAAACTATGTTGCATTCCCAACTAAGGACAATGGCATGCATTTCACTCTGTATGACAATTGTTTTCCAGTTCATGCATTCTGCTGATGATAAACCGAGAAAGGAAGAGTTCAACAAAGTTGACTGGGCTGTTGACCACGCTCCTCATGTGAGTTATTACTTGCTTTAGTTGGATACATTCTATGTTCATACTCTGGCTTCAACTGTGACAAAATCTTGCATATTTTTATTTTAAGTTCATATGGCGTCTTTGCTTTAGCCATATGTTTCCTACCTCACATACTATTCTGGTCAAAATGTTTTTGGCAGGTTCTAGTTCCAGTTGCAAATGGTTCAGAGGAGATTGAAGTAGTTACTATCATAGACATTTTACGTCGAGCGAAGGTGGATGTTGTGGTCGCCTCAGTTGAAAAATCAGTTAAAGTTACAGCATCTCTGGGTGTAAAAATCATTGCTGACAAGTTAATTGGTGATGCTGCAGGGTCAATATATGACTTAATCATTCTTCCGGTGAGATAAACAAATTTCCATTCTAATACAAATAGTTTTGGATGTATTCTTCTCAATATAAAATTGGGATTAAGGAATTCTATTATATTTTGTATCCTACGTTTGTGTTTTAGTTTGAAATTCATAACTTGGGCCAGGAAGATTTTGTTTTCTCTTCTACCCTGCATCTGTGAATAGTAAAGATTTTTTGTTTATTTTTAACTTGTAGGGAGGAGTTGCTGGTGCTGAACGGCTACAAAAATCTAGGATTCTCAAGCAGTTACTCAAAGAACAAGATGCGGCTGGAAGAATATGTGGAGCAGTTTGCTCTTCTCCCACAGTCCTGCACAAACATGGTTTGGTGAAGGTCAAGACTCAAGATAAACTATTTGATATTTGCCTGCTTATTAATTATCATATGCTCATGCTCAACACTGATAACCTCTGCCAAATACAGGAAAAGAAAGTCACTGCTCATCCCTCTACCATTAGGGAACTCACCAATGTAATAGATGGTCCCAAAGTGGTTATTGATGGTAAACTGATCACAAGCAGGGGCCTAGCTACTGTTTCAGATTTTGCACTGGCTATTGTGAGCAAGTTTTTTGGCCATGCAAGGGCTAGAGGTGTTGCAGAAGGCCTCGTTTTTGAGTACCCCAGGAGTTAGAAGATCTAATTTGAGTCATTTCAGATGAATGGCAATTTTTCCAGATGCCATTAAGATATTAAGATGAGGTTATAATCCCTCAACTTGGTCGGCTAGTGGAAGGAGAAAACCATCACAAAAACATGCTCCATGTGAGTATGAGTTGAGTATCCTCCCTTTTTGGTGTATATGCCATGTCTTAAACAGAGGTCACACCTGCCTGTTAGGTGCAAAGCAGCAAAATGACAAATGTTGACTTATCAATTGTCATAGCCATATTCGGGTGATGAGCTGCTACTAAATCTTCAAATATCTACCGATGTGGCAAACCAACCTACAGGTAGTTTGATATTTTAATAGAACCTACTATCAGTAAAAGGCCTGATATGCTAACGAGTTCTGATACTTCAAAATTCAATTTTTTCTCTCGATATAGATCATATGTGTTGCCTTAGGTGAACTGGAAATTGCAATTGCAACGGCCTTTTCCGGGAATCCGAATAATGTAATATTTTGGGTGGGGGGATGAGGGGAATGAAGGCTGCAGATTCCCTACTGTTATAATATTGTTTGACTCTCATCAACAAGATGAAAAACGTTAGTTAAGGGTCTAATCTGACTATGATGTACCAGTTTTAGGCCAATTTATGTCTTTCAGGAGCATTTAGATTTTTGTAAGCATTGTCATTTTTGGATATTTGGATTCTATCTCACCAAACATCATGTTTCTCTGCAGTCATTTTCTTCCAAAGGTTCCTGTAGTCTCCTAGGTAAAGAATTATTAAGGTAGTATATGCTTTGGGGGGCCGAATCAAATTGGAAAGTGGATGAGACATCCACGTAGGTGGGATAAAGGATTCCGATGGATGAGGCTGGGATTATCGCCATCTGGCTACGGGATTAGAAGATGTCTCATAACACGACAAAAATATAATGGCCTTTTCTGTTGACTTTTCGAAATACAAACGTGCACGACTTTTGTTCTTTGTTTAGGTTGTTCAAGAAACCATAAACCCAAAAATATCAAATCATGGTTCCAACGCCATCCCCAAAAAAAATAAAAAATAAAAATAAAATCAATGGAGCAATTGGTTTCTAAGCACCAGGAGTCACTAGCTAAAAAACAATGCTAAACCTTTTAGGCAATTTCATGACCAAAGATTATTTGTTACAACACGCAAAAAGTCCTAAATTTTTAAGTCAAATCTGATGGAGGTTAGAGGCTAACCAAGTCTTTGGGTCGAGTGTAAAAACATATTGGAGCATACATCCAACAATGCTACATGCCTTTGTTCTCAAGGTTATATGTCATGATAGGCAAATAATATAGATCAAGCCAATAGGAAAGTCTAATCTACAGAGCGAAACTAATTGTATTAAGTTCATAATTTACAACTCAAAAAACCTTTGCTCCTATGCATAAAGCTATCTACCCCCTCCGAAGTATGAAGATACAGATAGTAGATGCACACCGCAATCCTTCTACCATACCAATGGCCAAGATTTTTGTATCGACCATCTGCAGTTCCAACTCTACCAAGGGCCTGTGAGTGTTCTTCTCAAGCATTGTCTTTTACCTCCCCGTGGTCGATTCAGTGTCTGTAACATCTGTCCGAATGAGGCAATAGAGAGCACAAGAAAAATAAGCATTATCTTCTCAGAGTGAGGTTAGTAAAGAAAAAGGTAACATTCATGTATTGCTGTCAACTTAATGAAGAGTAACCAGACTAGAGAGAGAGAGAGAGAGAGAGGGAAACTGCTGTATCCTTTGGTCAACCTACACGACTCCACTGGCTTGGGTGCAAATTAAACTATAAGTTTGTAACTCATCTTTTGACTCTTGAATCCAGCAATTGCTATGCATCATGCGTTAGTCTAGATAATTAACAGGTTGCCATCGTTTTTTTTTTTGGGTGATACATCGACTAATTGTCAGCATAAAAATAAGTGCAAGAGAAAAGGAAAGCTGGATAGGATATTATCAAGCAAAAGAGATGTACTTGATTTCAAGTCAAGCACATTCTTTATGTAATGATAAATCGATCTTTATTGATTTTTTTCAGCTAATCACCCTGTAAAAATCTAGTTGCTGCGTCCAATTATAAGAGAGAAAACGTCCATTATCTTTTAATCTCAGAATAATAAAATACTGATTTTGAGGCTTACTAATGACTACTTTCACTATGCGAAACACAGTGCATAAAAGGAAACAGCTAAAACAGGATAACATTAACATTTCAATGAAATCCATAAGACATTATACTATGATTTGCAAAAATCTCTATATCTTTAGGCTTTGGAACCCATCTAAAAGCTAGTTGCTGTTAGGAATGCTAATATAAATGCAACCTGGAAATGAAAGAAATGAGCATATTACCTGATTTTTCTGCATTTCCATCATTTCTTCCTGCACCAACCAAAGTACAGTCAAGGATGGCACTCCACCCAACGTTTTCAATAAAAACACATAGAATCTTAGTCAGCAGACGGCACTTACCTGTTTCTTCTGCAATTCTTGGTTCATTTCTTTAAGTTTTGCAACCTCAGCTTCAAGTTCCAATGTATATGCCTGTTAGAAACTCAGAACAGTTGAAGCAATCAGTTGTTATATACTTGGAGTGAAACTAAAATGAATACAACTTATACCTCTGTAGTACTTTTCTTTTTAGAGTTCGGTCCAAAAAGACAATTAAGGAACTTTTCAAAAAGTTTTCACAGAATTATTTTTAATTTCCATGTGATTTATGTAACACATAGAGCTAAAGGATAAATGATACAACTGCAACAAATGTCAAAATATAAAGATGCCTTCTCCATATGGCATGTTTTGCTAAAGATTTGTACAAGGAGTTAACTGAAATAACAGTGGTATTAAATTTCCACTTCAAGGAGTTAAATTAAGCCATGCTCCAATGTTGATGCACCATCAGTAATCTTGTCAGTAAATAGGGTTTGGTTTGAGTTTCTTATACATCTCACAATAAAAAAATAGCGTAGTTTACAGGAATAGTAGGTAGGAAAGAACGCAGGCTGCAGCATTTTATATTGACACAAACAAAAAGCCATAACAAAAACGATGCAGTGGACGAGATTGGTTAAAATTTGTTCCAAACAGCAGTTGCAGCAACCTTTCATCATAGTTCCTTCAACAGAAAGGGCCACATACCAACAGCAATTTAATGACTGCCTTTAAATAGGCCCATATCACATTATCAGAACGAAAACATCCCCAAGAAAGAGATATTCTTCCAAATGGGAACCTGACTTCATGCCAGTCATAAAGACTGCAAAATGCAGTGGCTCTGCATTGGCGTTATATTTGATTGGCAACTAGAAACCATACCAAACCACTATTTTCACACAATCAATGTAAGGGCATCGTCCTAAACTTATTCTGTAACATGTCTTTAGCAAGTAACAAATTAAAAACTAACAAACTTTTTAAACAAGAAGTATCAATGAGCTTGAATCTATACATGAAACGAAATAGTATCTGATAACTGTGAAGGAAAAAAGAAGTGTAGGGGCTCAGCACCCAACTCACCTGCTTGCGAGCTCGTGATCTTGCAGCTGACTCTCTGTTCTTAATCATTCTCCTTTGCCTTCTCTCAACTACTTTCTCCAAAGCTGCACTGCATTTTCTTCCCCGGCCAAATACACAAGGAACTGGTGAGAAAGAAGTGGTATCTACGCTGTTCTTTGAAATGACATCTGAAGATATCTGGCTTGCAGGAGATCCTAAACCAACTATTCTCATCCCACCACTCTGCAGCCCGCTAGACTGAACAAGATTACTATTCATAGAAGGGTCGCCAATTCCAACCACCGAACCCCTAGTTCCTGGACTAGCAAGCTGTGCAGCGTTTATTAAGTGCATAGAAGTAGCAAATGCAACTGTTTGTTGCTTGGGAAAGAGTGGCTGTAGCTGTGGCTGTGGTTGCTGCTTCTGCTGTTGCTGTGGTTGTTGTTGTTGCTGCTGCTGCTGCGGCTGTGAGGATTTGACTCCACTCATGTTCAACGGTAACCTTGAAGGCTGATTAAGAACAGAGTTATTGTTACTCAAAAATCCATTGTTTCTATTTGTCTGTTGAAGTCCAATAGCTAAACCAGAGTTGTTACCAAAGAATCCACTATTATTTGGCATTCCAATCTGTTGCATATCTTCTCTTACGACACCTGCCCTCGCCAAGAATTCCTCCAAAGTCATCTCTCCCAAAGTCTGTTGCCTCTGTGGCAAATTTGTTCCTCCACCACCACTGCTTCCGTCTTTAGCACCATCGTACTCTTTCATCAAGTCTCTCCATACTTCATCAACCGTTTTTTGACTCAGAGTCCTTGGCAATGTTAATGATCCTTGCCTCTGCAAATTGCCACCAGAAAGACTTCCTTCTCCTCCAGGAACTGAAGCTGTCATAATAGCCTGAGTTTCTTCAGCAGTTGATATATTTTTCAAGAGTTCATCCATGTTCATTGATCCAAAGTCCTTTCCAAGTCCACCAAAGGTGTTCTGCAGCTCATCAAAGGTCAATGAGTATATGGATGACTGCCTAGCCAATGGGAAATTCCCCAGTGGCTTTGACCCGATTCCTTCCATACTTGGAGCATCACCAAAGTTCTTGAAATTCAGATGAGATCCCATTTCTTGTTTTGAACAGCAGCAAACACAGATGACCTCAATTCAAATTTCCCTATAAATCCATCAACTGAAGTAGATGAGATGATTATATCGTTCACTGTCCTTCTTATTAATTTTTTTCCTTCAACCTAAGATCTAATAAATGTTCACAAACCAAGCAAAGTTAATCATACGTAATATTCTCATTATATTTTCAATTATGGTCATACTTTTTAATTAGAATTCCATTAAAACCATAAATATCTAACTAGCAATAGAATCATAACTATTCATCACAACTTTCAAACTATAAATAACAAAAAACCAAAATGAGAAAGTAACGGCTTAGAAATATATGGAAACCAATAAAGATTAAAACTTTCATCTTAAATCTCGAAATTTCAAGATTCTCCAACATGTAGTACAAAGTATACAATCATACACATAACCAAACAAATTGTTCTGCAAATCCATCCAATTTATGCAGATAAGATAGAATAATTTGAAACTACGTTTTGTCATTTTATTTTTCTTCAATACCCAGATCCAGAACACTAAAAGGAAACAAAATCAATCTGGAGCTAGAAACTAATCAACAGCTAACAAGTGTCAAACTGCCATTTCTACTAAACTTTCATTTGCAGAAAACAGCACAAAAATCGAAGCTTTGACAGAATCTAAAGCCAACCCATTATTCCAAATCATAGAATCTATCAACAGCATGTAACATCAAGAAAAATTCAACCCAAGTAACAAAAAAGAAATCAATGAAAAAAAAAACTTTTTTTTCATTATAAAACAGAAGGGAAAAAAATAGCTAGACTAACTCCAAGTAAAAAAAATCTCTTCCTTAACCCATTCAAAATGGTTCCCTTAATCAAGAAAAATTTTTTAAAAAAAAACAAGCAAAAAAAAAGAAACTAAAAATAAGAAAAAGACAAAAAAATAAGAAAATGGAAAAATATAAAATAGTAGAGAGAAAGAGTGAGAAAGAAAAGAAAAGAAAAGAAAGAGACGCTTTCTTTTTTACCTTTTAATTTTATTTTTGCGAGTTTTAAATTTTTTGTAAACCAAAAAAAATAAAAATTTGTTAAAAATCGAAAAGTGTGGACTGGAGAACGAGCGACCGAGAGAAAGAGATTGTGTCGTTTTTCTGAAGAGAAAGGGTGAGGCTTTAGCTGTGTGGAGGCGACAAGTGTCTGTGCCGCCTCGACACGAGTCGAAATTTAAGGAGCTTCCCCGATTTTGGTGGATTTAATTGTAATTTTCTTTATCTTGTTTTTTTTTATTTTTTATTATAATATTTACGTGGGAGGCTGCTTAGTCGCCTAGATCGCGCAACGTGGACCAGTAGAAATCGGGTTGAAAGTTTGATGTGACGTGTAGCCAATGGGGAAGAGAAAGATGGTAGATTAAGAACCGTTGGATCTGCTTTCCGACAAGGTGATCTGATGGTACTTTTTGGAGTAGGGAGGACTTTGGATTAATTGATCATATTGGGTGATGAAAATTGTGTGTTATGTGGTGCACAATTGCACAAAAACACGCTTTACATTATTTTCATTTTCTTTCTTTCTTTTTTTTATAATTTAGAAAATTATTATATTAAAAGTTAGTAATAAAGTTCAAAATTTTCAAATAAAAATCTCCTATGTTTATCGAATGATATTGTGATTTATAAACTTTCATTTTATTTTAATTAAAATTTTAAAGTTATAAAATATTTAATTTTTTATTAAATTTTTTTAGTTGATTGATTTAACGTATAAAAATATTTATTTAAATTTATTTAATGAACTATATGACAAATATTTGAAGAAAAAATGTTTAAAAAAACAATTGGACATTATTCATCCATTTTTAAGATTTAGTGGATATAATTATAATGAAATAAGTCATAATCTTAATTTTACCTAAGAAAATATCAAGAATTTATTTATTTTTTAGTAAATATAAGAATTTATTTAAATATTATTCGTCAATAAGTATTTTATCACATAACTTGTAATTAAACAAACATGTCGTGTTATATGATAAAAAAATTATTGACCCACAAATTAGTAAATTTACAACATTCTACTATCACATCTAAAATTTTTTTTTTTTTTTAAATAGATCGCAACTTAAAAAATTTAAAATAAATTATATATGTTGAAATTTAAATTTTAAATATATTAGTCAGGGATGGTTTTTTAAATTAAATAAGTTAAATTTTAGATTTATAAATATTTTGCAAACCAGATAAAAAATAATAAAATTTTCACACACTTTTACCCGATAGCATATATTTCAATAATCATTCTATATACAACCAATGGTTATGTGTAATAATATGTATTGATAAACGGTTATAAATGCGTACCACAAACTTATAGCTAGTGTGACTTTCGTGTAATTTTGTAGCACAATTTTTATTATATGGTTTTATATGGGTTTTAAATAGTAATTAACTGTGTTTTTTTTATATAAATTTACAAGCATAAAAAAAATTATAATCATAATTAAATATTACATTTATATATAAAAAATTTATTGAATAATCAATCAATAAACTAAAATATAACTAACTAGATAAATCTAATATAAAATTAAATTAAACCCACATATAGATAATTTATAAATTAAAGAAACTATAATAGTAGGGGCAAATTTACGTATCAAATATTACATCGTTTTTTAGACTTTAGATCATAAAAATGACCTTTTTAGAACCATTGAAGGATATAAATCTTAGTCAAATATAATATTTTGATATAGTTTTTGAGCATTTAATTAAATGATAGAAACATTTTTTATTAAAAAAGTTGAGAACGAAATCTATTTATCTAAAAAACTTATAGAGAGAAAATAAAATGCTTATGTACTCAACTAGTTGAATAATGAGTTGATTTGGGTTCATCACAACTTCACAAAAACCACAAGTACATTTTGCTACTAGTTGTTAATGGGTCAAATGGACTCAAGTTGGGTTAATTTCTAATGATTTTATCAAAAGCTTGGCTCAGCTTAGCTCATTGAGTTTAAAAGTTTTAAATTTTTAAATATATATAATGAAAATATTAATATTTTAGATTAAATTTAAATTTAAAATACTTTTTATTTATAATTTAATATTTCGAATTAAATCTGATCCTTTCAGACTCACAAATTTTATTACAAATTCTGACTCATCCGTGGACAATAGACTTGTTACATATTGAACATTTTTTATTCAAACCTTGCCAATAAATGTAGCATGCTAGCATTATTATTACTCTTGAAAGTTGAAATATATAGAATAGGATTATGTGATGTAATAAATACTTGATAATGAAATGATTAAAAATGTAGTAATATAATAATAACAATAATAAACTAAGTATTATATCATATAATTTTGAGGTTGATTATATGCAAGATAAAAATTAAAAAAAAAATCATATTAGGTCGTGTTTTAAATTTTCTTGCACCAATTATTTAGCTCAAATTTTTTATATATTTTATTAACTCTCATATCATTTATTATTATATACATTCACATTTTTCGTAATTTACATCTAAAAATTTTAGTCTCTCTTAAATCATATTTCATAATTTATCTTGCCTCTAAAAGTTTTGGTTTATTCCAAATTTAGAAGCTCATTTCTGTTAATAGGTGCATAAATAGGTTTTATATTTCATATGTTTTAATTATCTCAAACAATTCTTAATGATATTTTTCTTAATTCGAATTATTTTTAATTTTTATTAAATTTCTTTATTTTTTTATTTTATTTTTTTTAGTTTTATCATATGTCCATCTAATCATTTTCATCTCAAGTACACTAATTTTCTTATCATGTTGTTTCATAATAACTCAATACTTAATGTCATATAATAATGATGCTTTACAGTTGCTTTATATAATTTTACCTTTAACTTTAAAATTATGTTATAATTACACAACATATTTAACATATTTTGCCTCTTAACCTATCTTACTTAAATCTCATCATTTATATTTTTTTTCTATCTCAACATCCTTTAAATAATTAATTTCAAATATAAAAAATAATTACTTTTTGATAATACTTCATCATTTAACATAATTACATTAGTATTCAGTTTCTTATAACTACTAAACTATTGAATTTTAAATTTCTTCGATTTAAAATCTCAAAACTTCGATGTGTATTTCTTTAATTCTAACTACACTTTAAATTTTAGATATCTTGGTTTTGAATTTGTTTTAATACTATTAATTTGTTAAAATTTTAAATTCATTACTACTTTTTAATAAATAAATTTAAATTCATTACTACTTTTTAATAAATTTAAAAATTTAGTGCATTAATAGCATTAAAACAAAGTCAGAATCAAGGCATCTAAAATCTAAAATATAGTTAAAAACGAAGTTTTTGCATTCAAATCCCTCGCTTTTCTTACTCACCCGTAAAAAGAAATTAAAGGAATAAAGAAGGACGTCTGAACGAAGTAAATGGCTGTCATTTGGTCAACATTCTTTGGTACAACGATAAGTCGATAACAACTTTCATACGTGGATTTCACATGTTATATGCGCACATCAAATAGGTGTCATGCACCAAATGCACGTGCAACTCTTCCTCTTTATCCATCTCAAATCTCTCAAATTTAAAGTTTCGTTTAGTAGTAGGTTTACCGTCAAAGCACCATCCCTAAATATTTCACCGTGCTACCAAACAAGTTCTAAGATTATTGCGAATTCATCTTCTAGCAATAATAAAATTAAAAGTTTTTTTTTTTTTTATGTTTGTTGAATATTATATTATTTATTCCAAAAGCTCAAAAATTTACCCTTATGATTTTTATCCCTTGAAACATGGAATTTTATAAAAAAAAAAAAAAAAACTCTTAGCTTTAAAGAACAATTTTTAATTTTTGATTATAATATTAATTTTATACTGAAATATTTTATGAAATATAAAAAAATATAATTTTAGATTATATAATAACCAGAGTGAAGGAATCGTAATCAATAGGGAACGTCGGCGTCACTCACATCAATAACGGTGGCATTTTCAGGCCGATGACTACTAAATAGAACCAATTTAATTATGGGGGGGGGGGGGAATAGGCGATCTGCAGATTCCGCAACAATGGTGAGGTTCCGGAGCACCACGTGGCTGTCCATGATTCCTTCATGTGCACACCATATATATCATGGTGGTTCCGCACATACGCAGTCCTATTCTCCACAATCAATCCTTCATTGCGTCACATGTACGTGTTGTTCTACCATATTTTAAAATTTAAAATTATTTATTATAATATAATAATCAGTTTTAGGGTATATATTAATAGATAAGGTAAGATAAAATAATAAAACCTATAATTTAAGAGTTAAAAATGCAAATGTCACAAATATAAATAGTGTAAAATTGTTATTCGTTAAGTCCAATATTTTCTTGTGCTAAAGGTCCAAAATAAAGTCAAACCCATAAAACTAAAAAAAAAATAATAATTTAAATATGATATTCCCTTAAACTTTTTTTTTTTGTTTTCTTAGATGTTTCAAAATTATGTATTTTTTTAATATTTAAAATTCTTACTTTTTTATATTTTAAAATTATTTTTATGATTTTTTTATATTAAAATCATGAACATTTTATTTAATAAAAAATATATTTTAATATTAAATATATTAAAGTAAAAATTTTTAATTTTATAAAAATTAATACATAACAAATATTTTTAAATGGAAGGAGTATAAAGAAATAGGAACGCCATCTATATACAATTTATTTTAATCAAAATTTTTTGGTTTGGATAAAAAATTATACATATATCACATTTAATTCGATTTATACAATTATATTCTTAAGAGCAAGAATTATGCAGTAAAAACTAAAAAAAGGTAGATTAATCTTACTCTATCTCATAATTTTTTTTTTTAATTTTCAACATTTTTTGTTTTACATAATTATTGATTTGAACGTTAGGGTGCATTCTAAAATTTTAATTTCCAAGCCCTTCTGATCACTTTTTTTTCTTTTTTTTGACAATCTAAACAAGCTGTCTTTTTAAAATTATCTATGAACTTTATTCTATTAATCTAAAAACACCTCAACCATATTTATTATTACAAACAATCCATAAATAAAATAAAAAGTAGTAGTATTATTCTTTTGAGAAATTATGGCTTAAAAAAAGTTTAGGATAAAGTTGTTTATTAAACTTATAAATTTGTTTTTCCACGACATTTTGTGGTTGGAAATAGGTAAAATGCAAAAATGACCCGTCATTTTCTGTTGTGTGTGTGGGGTTTTGCTTATTTTATTTTATGAATTATTAAGTGTTTGTTGTTCAACAACTTAGATTGTTTGTAGGTGTGAGCAAATACAATTCAAGTACTAGTTTGATTTTTATTGCAATTTGATGATGCAATTGACGAGTTTATAAATTGTATTGTTTTTATTAGATTTGGGTAATGCCATGGTAAAAAATTTTGCTTTGGAAAGTTTAAGATATGGGAACAATAGTACCAAAATGGCCGTGGAATAAAAGCTACCCAATTTGATCTCTTTAGGAATGCGGACAAAGTAAGGCACAGTAGTAGTACAAGTCAAATTAGGCAATATTTACTTGCAGTACAAATAGAGATAAAGGCATTTTCAATTCTTTTTTTTTTATTAAATACAAGAAATTTGTTTTTTATTTTTATTTTTAATTTTAAAATTTGAAATTAGGATATTAATAAAACCTCGCGTATTCCTTGTTCCACTAAGAAAGTCTCCTGCAAAACCGTGAGTTTCTCTCTTTTGCCATCAGGTCCCATGCTGTACAAAAAAGTAGTGCATCGATCCAGATGGGTCTGACAATCCTGTTTCTTCTTTGGAAGATCATTAACATATTACTTTCAATAAATAATTTATCTTTTTGAAAATAAAAAATATTATAAGTATTAAAATTTAATTTTATATTTATTTTTAAATTTTATTTTTCAAAAAATGATTATATGAATTTTCTCATTACTAAAAGAATTCGATTTCCGGATGCTTATAAGAATTTGTGCTGTAATAAAAGAAAATTAAGGTTGAATTCTATATATATATGTTTGAGTACGGTTTTGTGGATCATGATTGCATTATAATTTACAAAAAAAAGAATGAGGAATTGGTGAAAGGATTCTTAGAAAGGAATTACTGGACCCAGTTTCCAGATCGCAATAGCCTGACCCAGAAAAAAATTTTGAAGCTCAACCTCCACTCACGTAGCCCAAGCCCAATCCAAACCCTTTCTCTCCATCTCCGAACGACTTAAACCCTAGTAGGCCAACCTTCCACTCTGGAAATCAGCACCACCATTGTTCGGGATTTACTCTAAAAGTTCCTACGTATCCTTCATAATAACAACTACATGTATGTTCAGGTATAATTATCCCGCTCATTTCTTCTTGCTTCCATTTAGAACTTGAGGGACTTTATTTGTGCTTTTGCATTTAGTTCATTCTTGGAATATATGTTTACCTGATTTAGAGCGCTTGGAGCTTGAGATAGGTTAGAGAAAATGAGGGTGTAAATCACTTAAAAAACTACAGAAATCTTGTTGATTCTGGTTAATTTCACCACTTCAGATTTGCAAAAATATCTAACTTGAATTCTGGAAATTGGGTATGGTAGTGAATCATGGAATCTATTTGGGTTATTATTCTGTGTTAAGTAGATATAATTTTTTCCTCATGATTTTCAATTCTTTTGTCTTAGAGTTTCGTGTCTCGAATCTGGAGTTATTTGATCAGACAGTAATGATATTGCCCTTAATCTAAACTAGTTAAAAGTAGAACAGAGTTTCATCGTGGACATCAACGGGTCTTTTGTGTTGAGTAATTGTTAGAATTAGCCCATATTTTGTATTTAAATTTTTTCTCAATTTGCAGAATGCTTTATGCATTATCTATTTTACTCAGGTTGGTGCCAACCTACAGAGGTAGGCATATATCAAAAATCTTGCCATCACTTCAAGTGCGTTTCACCTTGTTTTCAGCAGCTTCAAATTCTCTACAAAGTACGTCAGATGGTTATGAAGACGGTTGCAAAGCAGTTGATTTCAATTGTCTGTTCAAATCTTGCAAACGGTTGCACCTTGCTAAGCACCTTCACGCTCTTGTTGTGGTTTCAGGGAAAGCTCAAAGCATTTTTTTCTCTGCCAAGCTTGTTAATATTTATTCTTACCTTGGTGATGTCTCATTCTCACGTCGCACTTTCGATCATATCCCCATCAAAGATGTCTATACCTGGAATTCTATGGTTTCTGCTTATGTTCGCAGTGGTCATTTTCGGGAAGCTGTAGATTGTTTCTATCAGTTTTTCTTGACCTCTGATCTTCGACCTGATTTCTACACTTTTGCTCCTGTGCTAAAAGCTTGTAAAATTCCACTTGATGGAATGAGGATACATTGCTTGGTACTAAAACTGGGCTTTGAGTGGGATGTCTTTGTTACCGCTTCCTTGGTCCATATGTATACCCGGTTTGGAATTGTAGGCTCTGCTCGCAAATTGTTTGATGATATGCCAGTACGAGATATGGGTTCTTGGAATGCAATGATTTCTGGATACTGTCAAAATGGCAATGTTGCAGAGGCATTAGATGTTCTGAATGAGATGAGATTGGAAGGGGTAAAAATGGATCCAGTTACAATAGTTAGCATTCTTCCTATTTGTGCACAATTAGATGATATATTAAATGGAATGTTGATTCATTTATATGCTATAAAACATGGGTTGGAATTTGATTTGTTTGTGTCTAATGCTTTGATTAACATGTATGCCAAAGTTGGCAAATTGGAGCATGCACAGAAGGTTTTTGATCACATGGTAATAAGGGATGTGGTCTCCTGGAATTCGATAATTGCTGCCTATGAGCAGAATGATGATCCAAATGGAGCACTTGGTTTATTCTACAACATGCAACTAATTGGAACTAGTCCTGATTATCTGACGCTGGTGAGTTTATCATCTATTGTTGCTCAATTAAGTGATTCTCCGAGTTGTAAGTCTGTCCATGGATTTGTTATGAGGAGAGGTTGGATTCTGAAAGATGTCATCTCTGGAAATTCTGTGGTGGACATGTACGCTAAATTGGGAGTTATGGATTCTGCACGTGCAGTTTTTGAAGCCCTCCCAGTTAAAGATGTGGTATCTTGGAACACTTTGATCACTGGTTATGCTCAAAATGGTTTGGCAAGTGAGGCAATTGAAGCATTTGGCATGATGCAAGAGTGCAAGGAGATAACACCAAACCAAGGAACTTGGGTGAGCATTCTACCTGCTTATTCTAACGTAGGAGCCTTGAAACAGGGGATGAGAATTCATGGCCAGCTGATTAAGAATTCTCTCTATTTGGATATCTTTGTGGGAACCTGCCTCATTGACATGTATGGAAAATGTGGGAAATTAGATGATGCTATGTCCTTGTTTTTTGAAGTACCCAAAATGACTTCTGTCCCATGGAATGCCATAATATCTTGTCATGGAATTCATGGGCATGCTGAGAAAGCTCTGAAGCTATTTAGAGAAATGCGAGAAGAGGGGGTGAAGCCAGATCACATAACTTTTGTATCTCTGCTCTCAGCATGTGGCCATTCAGGTTTGGTTGAAGAGGGTCAACGGTGCTTTCATGTGATGCAAGAAGAGTATGGGATTAAGCCTATTTTGAAGCATTATGGCTGTATGGTAGATTTATTTGGTCGAGCTGGGCATCTAGAAATGGCATATAATTTTATAAAAAACATGCCAGTAAAGCCTGATGCATCTGTATGGGGTGCACTTCTTGGTGCTTGTAGAATACATGGAAACATTGATTTGGGCGCCTTTGCTTCAAATCGCTTGTTTGAAGTGGATTCCGAGAATGTTGGGTACTACGTTTTGTTGTCAAACATCTATGCAAATATTGGGAAATGGGAGGGAGTGGATAAAGTACGAGCGGTGGCTAGAGATAGGGGATTGAGGAAGACTCCTGGATGGAGCTCAATCGAGGTGAATAACAAGGTTGATGTCTTTTATACTGGAAATCAAAGCCATCCAAAATGTGAGGAGATATACAAGGAGTTGAGGTGTTTGACTGATAAAATGAAAAGCCTAGGTTATGTTCCAGACTACAGTTTTGTGTTGCAGGATGTTGAGGAGGATGAGAAGGAGCATATCCTTATGAGTCATAGTGAGAGATTGGCAATTGCATTCGGAATTATTAAAACTCCTCCTAAAAGTCCTATCCGAATATTCAAGAACCTGAGAGTTTGTGGTGATTGCCACAATGCAACCAAATTCATATCAAAAATTACAGAGAGAGAGATTATCGTGAGGGATTCAAACCGTTTTCATCACTTCAAAGATGGGGTTTGCTCTTGTGGGGACTATTGGTGACATGAGTAAACAATCGAGGAAACAACCTTGGATTGCAAGAAGAATCGAGTACACTTTATATGCTGAGCAGTTGAGATGGAGCTTGGATTGATTATCAGAAAAGTCTGAGTTGGACCACAACTACATCATCAGACAAGGCCAAAGGAAAATGAATGCTTTTAACCATAATGTACCAGGGAAGGTTGTTTTCTTGCAAACTGATTTGGTGACCACATTTTTTCTCTTAATAATAAAGTTCATAATTTTTGCCATTCTTAAGTCTAACTACAGTGCTTTATTTCTTTGGCATTCGCTCGGTTGTTGCTTGAGTACCACCCACTGGTGCCAGCTTGGTAGAAATGTGAGGAGGTCCATGTGCTTATCTGGAGTAGGTGTCAGGCCAACATGGAAACAAAAATGGTCGATAAACAGTTGACTTTATTGACTCCTAAGTATTCCTAATTACCAACTTGTTCTTCTAACAATACTTTTTACAATAGTTAGAAACAGATAGAAAAAGTTTAATAGCAATTAGAGATTATATAAAATATTTAAAACATTCACAAATTCTAAATCAGTTTATTTATGTAATCATTTTAAAAATATAATATTTTGTAAGTTTAGATTAAAATTTTAATATTTATAATTTTTTTATCCTTAAATGATTGATCTCTTTTGTAAAAAAAAAAAATAAATAAATAAAAGATTTTGATTTTAATAGAAATAAAAAGAAAATTCGTTTCTACCTAATGAAAATAACGCAAAAGTATTGCTAAAAAATAACAAAACCCAAAAAAAAAAATGAAAAAAACACTTCCACACGAAATCAAAATTTATAAACAATTCAAAAACAAAGTATCAGTTGACATCTTAAGCCTAGCATTATTACGTGGCCATAAATGATTGGTGGAGCTTTTTATAATTTATTAATTTAGAATGGACCTTGCTTTAAAAGGCTAGATAATAAGATTGATTACGATTAGATTAAAAATAATGTTTTAAAAAACTCTGATTAGATAATAAAATTGATTACGATTAGAATAAAAAAAAAATTTATTATAATTGTGATTGAAAAAAAAAAAAACGGAAATAAAAATAAATATCTGGTTGACGTTGGCCGAGGATATTATCGTTCTTGATGACGTGGCACCTATCTGTGGTATTGACACTTGTAAAAGTGTCGCCATGTGGACCCTTTATTGGCCCCAATAACTGAACAGCACCGCCTCCCTTTCTTCCTCCCATTTTCTCTGCTAAATTGAAGGAGCAATTTTTTCTTTTAAAGTGAATCAAATTTCACGTTTTTGTTCGATTTGAAAGAAAAAAAAATACAATGGGAGATAATCTCCGCCGGAATTTTCCCTTTCCGGCTCTGTTTTTGGATCCTCAGGCTTGTGTAAGTGAGTTGACTCGAGCGAACTCGGACTCCTCTGACTGTGGTGTAACCATTGAAAACTTCAGAGATGCTACTGCAAACGCAAGACCGGTAATTTCCCTTTCATTTTTTTAAATTTAAATTATGGCTCTGCCTGAGTTATTCTTATCTATAAATCTTTGTGTTTAGTTTTTAGTGATATGGCAATTTTAGAATATATTTTGACTGCAGACAAATTTTTATTTTTTTATTTTTTAATAATGAAGGTTCTATTTTCAGTTAGAAAATCAAATTAGGGAAAGTAGAGGGAAGAGGATATCTCTTCATTGAAGAAAAGTTGCCGTTAATTTATTTTTTTTAAAATGAAGATTATAATAAAAACATTTTAATAAGATTTCTGTTTGTGCATATGTTTCTTTTTTGGAATAGACAGTCACAGTCTGCTGAGTTTTTTTGAGTTGCTTAAAATTTTGGAATCTACTGATCTTTAACTGAGAATCTCAGTTTTTATAACCCTTAATGATTTGGTATGATTCACTGTTTTGGAGTGTGAAAAATGGAAATCTATAACTAATTTCCTTATTTAGCTCCAATTAACTGCTGCTTGTTTGGTTTATCAGCCTAATTCAAACTTGTAGGCAAATTTCAATAATCTTAACAATGCCAAAAAAAAAAAAAAAAACCTTCAAAATATTTTAGGAAAATGTAACTTTGATTAGACTCAGTAGTTTTTTTTTTTTTTTTTTTTTTTTGGGGGGGGGGTAAGACTCTTTACTTTAAAATAAACAAATAAATATTTTAGAATTAGTTGCTAATATAAGTTTCAATATTTATTTGCATTATATTTTAATTTTTAATCAAAATTAAATTTACTGTTAATTTGAATTAAAATAATTTTGTAATTTTAATTATTTTGATTCAAAAATAAAAAATAAAAAATTTATAATATAAATGAATCTCTTATTTTTTCAAAAAATATTATATTACTAATTTATTTTAATTTATTTATATCGTTATTTTTTAAGCGATAATGTTTAATAGTTTTAGAGTTTAAAATGTCGTATTTATAATTTTTTTTTTTTTTACTAAAAAAGAAGGAAATCAAACAAGTTAAAGAGTCTTTCTAAGTACCCCTCACCGAACACTCTTCTGCAATTACATAATCGTCCGATGCCAAAAGGCCAGAACCCAGAATACTATTTAGCTGAAAGCTGGAGTCAAACGCTCCTTCTAGACCACAGCCCTAACAAAGCCGTAGACCTTTGAACGATCCCAAGTCATTAACTTTCTTGTTTTGTCTTCCACACTCTTGAACAACTTTTTCCACAAACATAAACAGATCGGACCCCCTAAACAAGAACCAAAATTTATCTTCTTTCAAACGTGAAATTTCATTTCATTGTCTTCTTAACGTTACAAAAAAAAAAAAAAAACAAAGAAACAGGTTTACTATCTCCTTTGTTTTTGTTTTTGTCTTTTTTTTTGTTTCGTCCCCTTAAAACAAAGAGTTAGATTGGGAGAGACAGGGATAAAGACCCTGTTTTTGATTGATGGGTATTATCTCAAATCTGAGAGGATCAAGAACCCAAGCAGAAGGGTTGCCATCTTCTACATCTGTTTCCAACAAGAAAAAATGGTCTAGTTTGATGCCTTTAGTTGTGGCCCTTGTGGTCATAGCTGAAATTGCGTTTCTTGGTCGTCTTGACATGGCCAAAAACGCTGCCTTTTTCGATTCATGGCCTGAGATGTTCTATAAATCACAATCTTCTGGTGGAGTAGAGGTTGCTGGCGTTGAAAAGTTCGGGATTGAAGCTTTGGGTGGTGATCAGAACTTAGTTAAAGAGAGCTGTGAGGAGTGGCTTGAAAGAGAAGATGGCGTGGTTTATTCAAGGGATTTTGGCAAGGATCCCATCTGGGTTTCTGGTGGCGAGCAGGTTTCTTAACTATTTCTTCTTCTTAATTTTTTTTTTTTTGAGGTCAAATGATAGCATGATCAAAGTCTGTTTTTGGTCTTTGCAAGGTCGTTAGATAATATAGCGTATTGAACACGATTATGATTTTCTGTTTCGATTTTGAATCTTTAGCTTTTAAGATTGTGAATTTTTCATAGTGATTTATCTATGAAGTTGTGAGGTTACCGATAAATTCTATCTGCCCATTTTATCACAATTTGACAGAATCATGTAGGAAATGCAGACAACAATAATGTTTTTGTATTATTGCTTTTGAGTGAAGATCATGTCTTCATAGTATTTCTTAAGGCCAAAGGAATTATCCTGGAAGTCTGAGAAATATATATAAGTTTATCCTAGACCTTTCTCTCCATTCTTTCTAATCTATTCATTAAGGTCATGTTTGGTGCATAGGATGATAGATAGGGTAGGATGATAATCATCCTATATTATGTTTGGTTTATATCTAAAGAAAGGGTAAGGATTACAAAGAGAATTAATCATCCTCTTGGTATAGGATGATTAAATCCTCTCCAAGTGGAAAGAAAGGATTATTTTTAATCCATGGGATTATTACATTGTCCTATTATACCCTTAAAACTTACATCAATAATTTGAGGAAGAATAATTTTGACCAATAAATAAATTATTTTATCCTAATCCTTGCGTACATCAAACACAAGATAGGATGACATTATTTAATCTAATCCTATTCATAATATCATCTTATCCCATGCTATCATAATCTTGTGTATCAAACACATCCTAAGTGTTAAAATGATGCCGGTGCTAGTCCACTCTAAAATGTTCTGGTAATTTTGCATATTATTCTTCCCAGATTTGATGTTGTTTAGAAGTCAAACTTCTTAGTGGGCTTTGGTGAGTTTAGTAAATCCAACCAATTGGTTTTAGCATTAATTATGTCTTCTTACTTATTGCTGACTTCATCTTCGTGGTATGTAGGAGTGGAAAACTTGTTCTGTGAGCTGTACGTTTGGATTTGATTCCAGTAAGAAACCTGATGCTGCCTTTGGTTTGCCTCATCAATCTGGAGTTGCTAGTGTGCTGCGCTCAATGGAATCAGCTTCCTACTATTCTGAGAATAATATTGCTCAGGCACAACGGTGGGTAAGCACAATCTATAATGACTTGTTTGCATTTGAAACAAACACTAATGTGCCCTGAATGTTTGGGACAATTCTCTATCAAGTACTTTATTTCTTCCCAATATTCTCTTTAACAAGCTTTTGCCTCCTCTATACAAGTGAATTTAATATTAAATAAGATATTTTCTGTGAATTACTCTTAGAAGCTATGATCTGTGGACACCGATGTTAGTGTGACTGTGATGCTTCAACACTGACATATTTCCAAGAATCTAGGCTCATCAACATGGCTATACATGTGTCCTTATATTTTCCATAATATTTTACACATTAATAACAGTTTGTAAGATTTTGCCAAAAAACATTCAGTAATTGCACTAGCTTCTTTTGGTAATTAAGCTGGCTTCTGTTGTAGAAATGTTTGGTATAAATGAACTGAACTATTTTCCCTCTAACTATTGGATAGGTGCTAATTATTTCATTGGATAAGTGTCCTACAGAGCTAGGCTTAAAGTGGATTCTAATTAAGGGGAAGTCTCTGTAAAACTAACTGTTTCATTTTTTTTTTCCTTTTCAATTAGGAGGGGTTATGATATTGTAATGACAACTAGCCTCTCTTCAGATGTTCCTGTTGGATATTTTTCATGGGCTGAGTATGATATCATGGCACCAGTGATGCCAAAGACTGAGAAGGCCCTTGCAGCTGCTTTCATTTCTAACTGTGGTGCCCGCAACTTTCGTTTGGAAGCTCTTGTTGGGCTTGAAAATGCGAATATCAAGATAGATTCTTATGGTGGTTGCCATAGAAATCGCGATGGAAGAGGTGAGATTTTTTTTTCTTATGCTTTTGATGTTAACCTAATTATATACTGACATGCAGTCTGATGTTAAACTGTAAAATGTTGTATTTTTTTATAATTTTTGGCCCTTCCTATAGGTAAACTAGAAGTGGCAAGTGTCTATGTTTTCTTTTAGTGTAAATACTTGACTGCATTTATGAGGTTACCAGTTCTCTATACCTGAGGTTTCGTTTTTATATTTCTTACCTGGGTAAATCAACCTGGAACTCCACAGTGCATTACTCTTATAATGACTATGGTTTCTCAAAAATAGTGAGAGATCTTAAAATTTTTTCCATGATACAACTCCAGCCTGCTCAACCATTCTGGTCACACTTCATGAATCTGTTTCTCCCTCTTTATCTATTATCATTTGTAATATTCTATGCATATATTCAATGCAGTACACATGCTGTATCTATACCTATACATATGAGTTGCTCTGGATATCAATGCCAACTTGTTATTTCCATTGCTATACAAGAGTTGTCGGCCATTTCAGTAAAAGACTGTTTGTGGGAAATTGTTTTGATAAAATGAGAAGTTTAGGTAGTGTTTAGTTTTAGAAAATAGAGTGATTTTCTGTTTTGATTTTCTTGGAAAATGAAAAACATGAGTTAAAATGTGTTTGATAATTGAAAATGAAAATAAATTTTTAGAAAACAAAAATGAAAATGGGTTAAAATATGAAAGCAAAAAAAAAAAAGTTTTCAATTGTGAAAACAAGGGATCTACATTATTTTTTTCCTTATGTTTTGCAAGTTACCATATTGAAACACTTTTTAATGTCATTAATTAATAAATATATTTTTATATTTAGAATTAGATGCCATTAATAGTAATATTATTGAATATTTTATTTATTTTCTTGTTTTTGCATTTTTAGAAAATAAGTTTTATTTTCAGTTACCAAATACAGTTTTTAGAAAACAAAAAATAGAAAATAAAAACTATTTTCTAGAAAATGAAAATAAAATTTTTTTTTTTTTCTTAACCTAAACAGAGAGAGTCGATTGAGGCACAAACTTCAGTGACTAGTTAATTGCTTATCACCTCATGATGTGCTTGTGCATTGTGTAAAGTAGTTTATGAATATATTTCATGTAAATTTTGCAGTGGACAAAGTGGAAGCTCTTAGACGCTATAAGTTTAGCTTGGCTTTTGAGAACTCCAATGAGGAGGATTATGTCACGGAAAAATTTTTCCAGTCTCTTGTTGCAGGTATGAACATTATTTCTGATGGCCCTTTAAACATTATATTAGGACAAAAGGATTTCATAGGCAGAAATTATTTCTTTCCAATTCTTGGTTCCTTTTGATCGATGTTACAAAACTCCATTCTACTTGAGTCTCTTAAATTGAACCTAATCATCTCCTTAGGGAATTAGTTCCGCTTTTGGAATAAAATAATAAATGCATAAAGTTTTGCCAAAAATTGGAAATTGTTATAACTAATTTCTGGAAGAGTTTTGTGAAATAGGATCCAGAAAATTGTGATTCGGGCTGGAAAGAATTCATAGGTGTTTTCATTTTGGACATGAATGTTTTGATACCAGTGTTTTCAGTTTCACCATTTGATTAATGGAGCTGTTAAAATTTTGTAGGAACTGTACCTGTGGTTATTGGTGCTCCAAATATTGAAGATTTTGCCCCCTCTCCTGGTTCAGTTTTACATATTAAGGAATTGGAGGATGTTCAATCAGTTGCAAAAAGAATGAAGTACCTTGCAGAAAACCCTGATGCTTATAATCAATCATTAAGGTGTGGCTTAATCCCAGGAATAAATATGCTAGTTTACCAGAAACCTATTTCTTATTATGGAATTGTTACATGCACCCTGCTCCCCTTTTTATGAGGTTTGTTGATGGTTTGAGTTATATTTTGATTTCTTAATGTGGGGGCTTGTTGACAATGAGATAACCATGGATTAGGTGGAAGTACGAAGGCCCTTCTGATTCTTTCAAGGCCCTTGTGGATATGGCTGTGGTTCATTCGTCATGCCGTCTGTGCATTCACTTGGCAACTGTCATCCAAGAGAAAGAAGAAAGGAGCTCTGACTTCAAAAAACGTCCCTGCAAGTGTAGCAGAGGATCAGAAACCGTGTATCATTTATATGTAAGAGAACGAGGAAGGTTTGAGATGGATTCTATTTTCTTGAGGTAGCCCCTGTACTTTTTAGCTATTAGCACATTGTTACAAAACAATTTTTTTGATCCTTGTTATCCAGACTTGATTTGACTTTCTTTAAACATAAAAATCAGTGGAAAAGTAGTTGAAATCATCTAGTGTTGCATTCATTTCACCTAATTGATGATACATGACTATTTTATCTTTGACTTTACCTTGTTAAGACTCATGCATCTTAATTCTTAAGCATAAGCCAATTTGTCAATGTGGAGATGAGTGGTAATTCAATCTCCACTCAGTGGAAGCTAATTTTAATCGATTCTTAAAATTTGAAACTGGAGGAAATCCTTACTTCTGACATTGATGAGCAGGTCTGGCAATTTGACTTTAGGGGCCTTGGAGGCTGCGGTGCTTATGAAGTTTAAGTCTGTGGAACACGTGCCTATTTGGAAGCAGGAAAGACCCAAAAGCATAAGAGGAGGAGATGAACTAAAAGTATACAGAATATATCCTGTTGGCTTGACACAGAGACAGGCTTTATATACCTTCAAGTTCGAAGGGGATGCTGATCTTAGGAGCCACATTGAAAACAACCCTTGTGCAAAGTTTGAAGTCATATTTGTCTAGATTGAAGGTTGCATTATCTCAACTTTGTGCTTGGACGATGGATTCCACATTTCAGCACTATTTGCTGAAAATATTTCCTGAAAGATCAAGGTAACCTTATGTAGGTTATTACTTTCATCAAATGCTTCTTGTAAGGACCTCATGATTTTTTAACATTGATGAGCTGCTAGGTAATGGCTGATAGGGATGAGCATGGCTTCAAATGGCTCAATTTAGTTTTAGCTCACGAAACAATGCATCTGACCCTTTGAGTTTTAGCTTCAAAATTCTTCCAAGCATGATAAATTATTGGATAAATTAGTTTTACTTTAGATATGTTAAAAGAGTCATCGTGTATAAGTTGTTCCTGGTGAATCTTTCGCTGTTATAACTCGTGAATACTTATGCTGGAGCAATCTGGCTTTTTCATTTGCAACTTTGCATCTTCCCTTTACTTCAGAATGTGAATTCAGAGGGTATAATTACATAGTACTGCAAAGCGACTGTCTGAATTCTGACATTTTGATCGTTCACTTCCGCAAACCTTATACACTCAAAGATTGGGCGAGGCAATGTCTCATACGGCTCTTAGTAACAAAACTTTGTTGGGCCATGCAGTCTCAGCCATTAACTGGGGCTCAACGATGGAGCCTCTGCTCTCTTTTTGTGTGGGGAATTCAGCTAGGAGAACCATCCGTAAAAAATAAAACCTGTCAGCTGCCGGTGCCCTGGGAAGGCAAGTAAATGGGGAGAATCTTCCAAGAATGACCTATGCATATTCTTGGCTGGTTAAATGTTTGCAAGTTGCAACCCTTTTTAAATACTAGTATAACATGCAGTTTCTTAGGTTGTTGACTACAAAATTTCTGGACCCTCGATCTCAATTGCTCCCTTTATCTTCTTTTTTTTTCTTTGTTCTTTTCTTATGAAATAGTATTCATCCATCTAGGAAATTACTGGCAAACAACAAGAAACATAGAATCATAGAAAGACAAATGTAATATGTTGAATGAGAGAAAATGAAATAAAAATATGGTCAACAACTATGTGATCTGATGGTAAAATATTACTCTTGGCTTCGGTTATTGGCGTTCTCAAATAAAAAATAAAAAAATGAGCCAAAAAGCAGAAAAAAAAAAAAAAAAAAAAAAAGCAAGTGAGAGGTTGAAGAGCAAACCATGGTGCGTGCCAAAACAAGGGAAGAAGGATTGTTTGACTTCGGGCCCCATGTTTATTTTCTATTGAAACTGAAAACAAAAATTGAGCTTAACTGGTGGCGGCGAGTCAAGCTAAGTGCCTCTTGGCTCAATCTAAAGGTTAATAATCAACATCTGGTTCAGGTTTCTTTCACTCTTAAATCTATTCTCTCTTTCCCATTAGAGAAACAAAATGAGTGGGTCATCGTCAGTTACTTTACCAGAACATAAGCAACTTTTTTTTTCTAATTTTCTTTTCCCATTTTTTTTTATGTTAGTATATCCGCGTTTCAACACTAGATTTTGTAAAATCACCTCATTCAACTTTGGCGACTTAAAATCGGAAATCTGTTATCATAAGCCTAATATCTTTGATTGTGAGAAGAAAAGGACAAAACATTTTCTTAGAACATTTCAAATACCACCTTAATGCACTGCACCAATACAAGAGCGCAAAATCTGACGGGAATAATAAATACTGTACACCTAAGATTTACTTACACCTACAAAAGTGAGGAGTAGTTTTAATTTTAAAATAGAATTTAATAATAATTAAAATTAAAATTTAATTTAATTAATTTATATAATTATTCATAAGATAACATTTTATTTATAATTTATAATTATAATTTTATAATTATTTAATCACAATAAAAAAATTATGTACGAATTTATAATATAAATTTTATATAAAATTTTGATAAATCTCATATAATTTTAAATTATGATTAATTAATTATATTATAATTATTTTAAATGATATGTTTTTAATTAAATAAATAACCGGTTTTGAGTTATAAAAGTTAAATGATATAGTTTCGTAAAATTTAAGGTGTAGAGCGCGGTTGTTTTTTTGACTGCCGCTAGCCTTTTTTTTTTTTTTTTTGAAATTTTAATTTGTAAGCAAAAGAAATAAGAATATTAATTCCTTGCTATTTTTTACTTGGTGATACAATTTTCTTTTATTTTAAAGAAATGTAAATTATTTGAGATTTTGTTTTAATAAAAAATATATCTACTTCAATGATTTGGATTCTGTCATTCTAACAAATTTGTATAATATTTTTTATTTTTTTATAAAATTTACAATTTTAATAAAATTTTGTAAATTTTACAATTCTTTGAAGAAACCATTGCCCAACCTCCAAGTCCACTAAAATGGGATAGGAGTCATATATTTATATATAAAATTTTTAAGATCTCTATAAAATTTTTAATAATACGAGTGAATGGTGACATGATCAGTGTGAATCACGAATTTTCATGTTAATTTAACTATGCTTCAGATGATATGGAGAAGAAATGTTGTGGATGATGAGAATGAGATCACATCATTGTTACTTTGGCATTTTACTATAAAATTATTTATAGTATTTTTAACAATAACAATTAGTGTACATCTCGTGAAAATTGATCTTTTTAGATGTAGACATCAAATTTTGTTTGAGTTTACTGAATTAATTTTTGTTTTAAGTTTTGTGTATTCATATTAAAATTAATTTAATATTATTTTAAAATATAATGATTAATAAATAAAAAAAACAAAAGATTGGGGTGGCAATGATGTCTTAATATAAATAATAAAAGTATAATAATAAAATAATATTTTAAATATAAATAATCGTACCTAAATTTTACTTAAATATTAAAAAATTAATGTGGTCTCATTATACTTAAGAATCCATTTATTTGTATTGCATAATATTCATTGACATACATATGTTATTATGTTATCATTGGCAATCATTTGCATTCTTCTGTTTTTAATTTTTTTATTTATTTACTATTTGTGATAAAATATTTTATAATAAAAAAAAAATATATTTTTTAAAAATTTTGTGATATTGTAAAATAAAATAAAAATAATATTTCGAAAGAAATGATTCTTGGTACTTTACTTAGATGTTGGAGAGTCACTGACAATTATCTTTTATAAAGAGTGTTATTTTATTTTAAGGGATATTGTATTAAATCTCAAGTAAAAAAAGTTATCTTAAATTCTGTCTAGATGTTAGAGAATTTTAAGATAATTCTTTAACTTAAAATTTTTCTTAATATTTCTAAATAAAAAATTTTAGCAAAAAATATATATATTTTTAAACGAAGGAAATTAGTATTAAATTTTAAGTCAAAATCATTTTATCAAATATCGAAAATAACGTATGATTAAATGATATCGATTTATGAGTGTTGTGGAGGTGCTAATTCTTTTCTACACATAACCGACTCTTAAACTTAACTTAATTTTTGTAAATCAAAATTTATCTTTTTATAAATTTTAAACCTGCTTTTAAAAGTTTTATTAAAATTATAAATTTTTAAGTGATCAATCATATTTTAAAACAGATTAATGATAATTTTTTATTTTTTTTTAATTTTAAAATACTTTACGTCTTATAATCTCAAAATCATTAGCACATTAGATTATAAGGTCAAAGGTTAAATGGACAAGCAATCAAATTCATGAAAACAAAAATTTCCTTTTGAATCGAATGAATCTTGGAATATTTCATAATGCAGAAACCAGAGGCCAAACCCGTTGACTTTAATCGGTAGCAAATTAAGGCAGAAGCCAATAAAAAGTGTTAAGATTTTTTTTTTTTTAATGAATTGAATGCTTTATACGTCATTTATAGGTGTTCTCTTGAAAAGTTTCTATCCATTTTTCCTAAGAAGCAAGGATTAAAAAAAAATATAAGAGGAGAGAGAAAAGAAAAAAAAATCCGCATGGTCACATGTCATCTGTTGATAATCTAATAATAGCTAAATTTAAAAAGATAAAACTTACCTGAATTTATATAAGTAAAATTCGTGAATATTTTTTATTAAAAGTAAATAAATAAAAAATTTTGATAAAAATTTTGAATAGATAAATTAATAAAATTAATTATAAAAATCATCAATAAATTGATAAAATTAATTGTAAAAATTAATAATATATAAAAATTATTAAAAATATTATTTATAATTCAAAATTTATCAAAATTTATTTAATTGTAAAAATTTTATAAATATTTTTACTAAAAATATCTATTTAATAAATATATAAAATTTTTTAAATTTTATACGTTGAATTTATATAATAAAATTTTTAAATTTTAATTTACTTATTTTTAATAAAAAATTTCACTAACTCCCTTACGCAAAATTTTCTTAATTTAGAAAGAATAAAAAGTTAGGCTAGATTGATAGGAATAGCCGCTGAATATAACTCTAAACTGTTTAAAAATAAAAGACAAATCAACTGTCATGTTTCTCATCTTCTTCCTCCAATGTACTACCAACTAAACTGACCCTTGACACCATCCAAAAGTCCCCTCTTCCACCAAAAAAAAAAAAATACCTCTCCGCCTCTCTTGAGGTCCCCTTCTTTCCATTACAAAAATGTCCAAACACTTCTCTCCCTTCACTTCTCTTTCCACCACCACAATTCTTGCTGTTCCAAATTCTTTATATCTCATTTTCAACTTTTCAAACAACTATCCCAAATGTCTTCCTTTTCTGTTCGTTTCCTTGCACCACAAGCATTGCCATCTGCTTCCTCCTTCAGGCCTAAAACATGGGTTCTTGCTGCTCCAACGACAGCACCAGCATCAGTGGAGGTGGATGCTGGGAGGTTGGAGCCAAGAGTAGAAGAGAGAGATGGCTACTTTGTGTTGAAAGAGAAGTTTAGAGAAGGCATCAACCCTCAAGAGAAAGTGAAGATTGAGAAAGAACCCATGAAGCTTTTCATGGAAGGAGGGATTAAAGAACTTGCTAAGATGTCAATTGAGGAGATTGATAAGGCTAAGGATACAAAGGATGACATTGATTTCAGACTTAAGTGGCTTGGTTTGTTCCACAGGAGGAAGCATCAGTGTAAGTTTACCACTTACTAAAGCTTGTTCTCTCTATTGCTTGATTTGGATTTTGGTTTTAACATGAATTTCTTGGATTTTATATTTTGAAGTTGACTCAGATCAGCTCCTTATAAGATCACATGATTCTGATAATTAAAATTACAGTACCATAATATTGATGGGGTTTTGCGAAACTGAGTTATAATTTTGTTGTTGTTGTTGTTGTAAGATTCTTCTATTATTGATGGCAGATGGTAGATTTATGATGAGATTGAAGCTACCGAATGGTGTAACGACAAGTGCCCAAACACGATACCTAGCTAGTGTGATAAGGAAATATGGGAAGGATGGGTGTGCCGACGTGACAACCAGGCCAAACTGGCAAATTCGGGGAGTGGTGTTGCCTGATGTGGCAGAAATAATCAAGGGACTTGAAGAAGTAGGCTTGACAAGCCTACAGAGTGGCATGGACAATGTGAGAAACCCTGTTGGCAGTCCTCTTGCTGGCATTGATCCGGAGGAGATTGTTGATACCCGTCCTTACACGAACTTGCTATCCCAATTTATTACCGCCAATTCCCGTGGCAATCCAACCATCTCTAACTTGTAATTTCCTTTTACACGGCCCTGATTCCATTGGAAAATAATGTGTCTGATTTTGGACATTATGTTTTGTTTGAACAGGCCAAGGAAGTGGAATGTTTGTGTTGTGGGGACTCATGATCTTTATGAACACCCCCATATCAACGATCTTGCTTACATGCCTGCCACAAAAGATGGACGTTTTGGGTTCAATTTGCTGGTTGGTGGGTTCTTTAGCCCCAAGAGATGTGAAGAGGCCATTCCTCTTGATGCTTGGGTCTCGGCGGATGATGTCATCCCAGTGTGTAAAGCAGTGCTAGAAGCCTATAGAGATCTTGGCTTCAGGGGCAACAGACAGAAGACAAGAATGATGTGGCTGATTGAAGAACTGGTGAGTAACACAGTTTTTCTCAATTATTATGCTAGTACTTAAGGTTACATTATTTCCATCTTTTTGTATTCATTGTTCCCTGAATTATTGAAGCATCAAATCCTGATCATTTCAAAAATTTGTCAAAATGCAGGGCATTGAAGTATTCAGATCAGAGGTAGCCAAGAGAATGCCTCAGAAAGAGTTAGAGAGAGCATCTTCTGAAGACCTGGTTCAAAAGCAATGGGAAAGGAGAGACTACCTTGGTGTCCATCCACAGAAACAAGAAGGTTTCCAGTTGGTCGAGTCCAAGCAGATGACATGGATGAACTAGCCCGGTTAGCTGACACATATGGCTCAGGCGAACTCAGGCTTACCGTAGAGCAAAACATCATAATTCCAAACGTTGACAACTCGAAATTAGAAGCCTTGCTTAACGAGCCTCTACTGAAAGACAGGTTTTCACCAGAACCAAGTATTCTCATGAAAGGGTTAGTGGCTTGTACTGGCAACCAATTTTGTGGGCAAGCCATTATTGAGACAAAGGCTAGAGCCTTGAAGGTGACTGAGGAGGTGGAAAGGCTAGTGTCAGTGACCCGGCCGATTAGGATGCACTGGACGGGCTGTCCTAATACTTGCGGACAGGTTCAAGTTGCTGATATAGGTTTCATGGGGTGCATGGCAAGGGATGAGAATGGGAAACCTTGCGAAGCAGCAGATATCTTCTTGGGAGGGAGAATAGGGAGTGACTCGCATTTGGGAGAACTTTATAAGAAGGCTGTTCCTTGTAAGAACTTGGTACCTGTAGTTGCTGACATTTTGGTGGAACACTTTGGAGCTGTCCCTAGAGAGAGGGAAGAAGGAGAAGATTGATCAATGAATTCATTCATTGCTTTTAGATTTCCATTTTTTTTTTGTCTGTCAAATTGAATGATGTAAGGATTCTAAGCATGCCTTTCGAGAAGAAAATGGAGCATCTAAAAGATACTTGGAGGATTCATCTGGACAAACTTTGATAAATGGGATGACAAAGTGAACATCTCCACTTTTTAACATGCTCGCTCTACGATGATGGTTTTTTTTTTTTGATGATATATAACATCTTGATCACATGCATCAAAATAAAGTTATTGGCAATATATTCCAATTGTTTGGTTAATGTCGATCACCCTGTTCTAGGAGCAGATTAAGTTCCTTTCAGGAGAAAGACAAACCTTCACCCCAAGTCCCCAGCTATCTAAGGACGCTATGAGAATTATGATATCAACACAGAATGTGAAAGATTGGATTTATATTTGATGCATTGACAGTTATACATTTTATACATTATCAATCAATTAAATGTTATAATTTTATTAATAAAAGATTTTAAAAATTTAAAAATTTTTGTAGATAAATATCTTTAAATTTTATTCTTGAACATTGTTTGAAAAATTAATTTATTTTTCTACTTTCTACAAAATCTTAATTATAACTTAGAATTTTTAAATTAATTGAACAAATTTATTTATTAACTTCGATAAATTATTTAAATTTAAGAGTTCAAATTTTGTAAGTGAATATTAGTATTGAATAAAAATAATATTCAAAGTTATAATTACAACTAAAAATATTAGATAAAAGGAAAATTTTACTTTAATTTAAACAATTTAACCAAAAAGAACCCTAGCTACCATCATAATTCATGTCAATCACGACTAGTCACCACTCCAACCACCACACTCGGCCTTCAACAACCTTTGATGGAGGAACACCACATTCAATCTTCAGCAATCTTTAATGGAGGAGCACAAGCACTAAGCCTTTCTTGTACCCTACCCAAAAGCAAGTACCAAAGATTATTAGATCCCCAAATCCAATTTTTCGTAACTAGACAACAATACAAGAAATCTCTTGAATCTTGATTTCAAGCCTGCCATCTCATCAACTTCAACAACAGTTTTTCATAACTTTCGGTAGCTCATCCCTCTGCAGTGGTTCTACAACCGGAAATGCTAAGATTTGGGAGGAAGAATTCGCACAACAAGACCGTGGAATGGATGAGCTTTTGGCGGTTCTGGGTTACAAGGTTAAAAGTTCAGATATGGCAGTAGTGGCTCAAATGCTTTAGTAAGAGGAAGTTATCTGTAATGTTCAAGAAGAAAATTTTAAAGATATTTATCTTTGAGGACTTTTAAATTTTAAAAATTTTTCATATTTTTTAAAAAATAGTAACATTTAGTTGATTAATAATATATAAAATACATATATTAATCCGGATGCATATATAAAATATTAATATTTAAATATTTTATATAAAATATATATAAAATACATACATGTATCAAATATTAATCCGGATAAGTCTTTTACTAGGTTTAGATTGGACATATTCAGATTGCTTCAATTTTGTGCTTGGGGCTCTCCTGGTATGCCGCAGCCGCATATAATGGGCTAGGGATCAGGGTTGGGATATCATCCTAAGTTCCTAACTGCCAAGCAGTTCATCTTCTTTGACATATATATTTTTTTATCTTTCAAATGGACTCTTCCTGGTGAATGGATTTTCCCCTTGGGCTCATATGTAGTTTATTGCCAGGCTGAGAGTGAGCTTCCAAGTGTAAATAATCAAGCAATATTTATGACCTTATGGGCTCGTGCTAAGGATTCCTATCAAATGGGTAAAAGTATTTTTTTTTATAATTTCTAATTAATTTTTAAATCTTTACCTTAATATTACATGTATAAATTCTTTGGAATCTATAATTTTTAGGTGTTAAATTTAATGATATGTTACCGAATTCCAGAAATAGTCGATATCTAATAGGTAAAAATTGATTGTGCACAAAAATCATTAATTATGTGACTTTCAAATGAAATGATGAATTATTTATTTATTTATTATTGTTATTTTCTAGTCCGAGAACTTCTTATTAATCTATATATTGATAATGCTGTCGAAAAAGACATCTGATTCAGACATTCAACTGACAACCCCACAACTTGCTCCATTGGTAGATTTGTTAGAATCAAAGAGCTCACACATTGTCAATTGCACATTAATGAGCCAACAAGACGCGACCAGAAGAAAAAAATCAGCCAATCTCTGCAACTTGAATGTAGTCTAAGGGCCAAGCCATGTGACCCTATACAAATGGAGACCACAAAAAATGTACCAAGACTCAAGTTTAAGGCTAAACATTTTCGTAGAGAATTAGCCAGCCTTATTAAAGAGTTGAAAACGACCAGAAAATGATAAACCAGCAAATTCGTTGTTGGTGCCGTTTCCGAAGAATTAAGGGGCAAAGTTATTCAGTTTTTTGATCTAGTGGTCAAGAACACTTTAAAAAAGACATCACAATTGAGTTTCAATCCTAATCTCTCCCCTCCCTCTTGTTGTATTAAAATACGAGAGAAAAAGAGAGTAGTTAAAGATAAAGGCTAAAATTTTTTTTCAGATGTTTGCATTTTAATGTTCAAATCAGCGTTTGGTTGGGAAGAAAAAATAAAAGTGAAAAAGTATATTATGTTTAAATAATATTTAGATGACCTTATTTATAATTGAGTATAAAAAATTTTAAATTGGTCCAAAAGTCATAAATAACTCTGGTTTAGATAATATCTAACATACCAAATTAATTTAAAAATCATAAATAAAAAGTTTTACCTTTTAAACCTAAAAATGTCTCTGTCACTTGTTGTCCTCGGAACCCGTCTCCCTGAGACTGTCACGATTTCAGATGGCCCGGTCCGTTGTAATCACCCCTGTATTATTATTCATTGTTAGCTTTAGATATTGCCAAATCAATGGTGTTGGCCAGTTAGCCAACAGGTTTGTAACTAATGCTTCCATTGTTTGAAACATTTTTCGTTAAATCACTATCTTATTTACTGCATTTCTACGAATTTTCCCAGTACAGGGGAAACACCTGGAAAGTTCATTGCCTTCCTATATCCGACGTCAATCCCGTTAAAGAAAGTAAATGAAAGAAAAAACTGGGGTTTTAAATAGAAAACCTGATTGAAGAACACAATGCGATTTCTTGATGCATAATTAAGAAGATAATCTTATATACAATGGCTGATTTACGTGGTATTGTGAGGTTAAAAATTAGAAAACAAAAAAATTTAAAGGAAAATTTTGTGCTAGACACCTCCAAAATTTTTTCTAAACACTTAAAAAATTAAAAATTAAAAACTTAAAAAAAATTTCCATGGACATCTCAAAATTTTTTCCGAACACTATTCTTTGGATAAAATTGATAAATCTTTAAATAATATTTTATATATATTATAAGTTCACGCTCCCCATTTTTATCACATTGACCACTGTTTATAAATATTTATAAATTTTTTTTTTTAAGGAAAAGGCTGAAAACTGGAAATCCAATGAATAAGAAGCAAATCTCTCATGTCTGGGGGGCCATTGCTACTTCAGTGTTAGCTAGTCTGGAACGTCTCATGTGAAGATCTGGAGTAAATCCGATTGATCCAGTGGACTCCACGCACCAAAATTTTCAATGATTCAATGTAATAATAAAGTTTTTCTCTTTTGGCAGATCCTGCATGAAGCATATACCATAAAACAGTGAAAAAGTTGAATGAAGATAGTCTCCTGCAATTGTTTCAAAGTGATTGGCAACATATCAGCTTGTATCCATATCCTTATCCATATTTACAAGTGAATACAACCATAGTTTCAAAATTCTTTCGTTGGTATTATTTGACCGTTGCTAACTTGTTGCAATAATTTGTTCTTAAACAAAAACTCGTTTTGCTTTATTACAAAAACAACATTTTTGTTTGTTGTATATTCTACATTTAAAGTAGAGTAGTAAATTTTAACTCTATCTTGTACGTTATTATTCAAAAAAATTTCTAACTTCACAAAAAATAAAGTGTTGTAAAAATCCCTTGTTTAGAATTTTTCAAAAACATTTTAGAGTTTTTGGGTTTATACGTTAATAATTCAAATCAATAGTCATTGTACAAGTAGAATTAGTTCTTCTACTACAAGTGCTAAATATAATCTTAATGTATAAATAGTAATATTATTTCATCGAAAGACAAAATTTACATAAAATATTTTAGATAAAATTTGTAAAGTTTTTTTTTTTAAAAATGATTTAATAAGAATTTTAATAAAAAAAATTCAAATTGATAAATTGGTAAAGTTTAATGTAAATATTAATTATATATAAAAAAATTATTAAAAAAATTATTTATATGTTAAATTTAATCAATACTTATCTAACAATAAAAATCAGTCAACATTTTTATCAAAAATTTTTATGTAAAAAATATATCAAATATATTTTTTTTTCAAATTTTACATACTTAATTTATATAATGAAACATTTCAATCAATCAATCAATTTTAATTTTTTATTTTAAATTTTATTTAATTATTTTTAATAAAAAATTTCATAAACTTCATCTAAATCTTTCACTTTCACGAAACGCTCGAAAAAGTCTTCTAATATCTCCATGAAAAAAAAAAAAAGGGGTTAACTTAGCTTGTTTTATCGTGGGGGCAAATACAAAATGTACTTACAAGTTAGACCAGACAAGAAGAAGACTAAGAAAAACAGCAAGGTGTTGTGCCCTAATGCTACGTTGCAGGGACCAACTTGAGGGCCAATTGTTCCAATATAATTGGAACGTTCCATTACATTCACGTGAATTGCGCGTGAGTTAATTACTTGTTGCTGAAAACCAAAGAACTTGTACACAAATTTTCAATTTGTCTCACTGCCTATCTCACAATAAAAAATGAAGATCACGAAATGGCATGGGGCATTGGGTCAATCAATGAAGGGTGAGTTGGGATTGGGAGAGTCTCACATTCATTCATAACATTAGTCATTACCCGCCGTATGTTCCAAAAAATGGAATCAAAGGCCAAAGTGAAAAGCGTCACTGCTTGGCTATTTCCAGGTGGATCTGGCATCATTCTGGATATCTGGAAGCACTCCTCTTTTTTTCCTTTTTTATTTTGTTTCATTTGATAATTCCAGATTTTCTGGATTTTTATTCCCCCTACCTAGCATTGCTTTTTTTTTTTCTCCCCCCCCCCCCCCAACCTCTTTCCTTTCTGCTTAATTGCCCTCTTCTGTTGAAACTTTGCTCCTTTGATTGATGTTGAGTCGACATTGACCATCAATTCATGCTTTACAAAAGCACTATGACTAAGTGCAATGTATACAAGCTTTGTTAGTTTAGTATGGCAGGAAAAAAAAAAAAAAAAAGGTCAAATTCTGAATTTAACCTTCATCTCATGCGAAAATGTTGGATTTATTAGTTATTTAGTTATCCTTCTACTATTATTGTGTACAAAT